TCCATAGGGAAGCCTGTTGGGATGATGTGAAAACATCAGTGGATTTCCTTCTTCCTGTAAATCAACAAGCGAAACTACCACTTTTTTGGGTGTTTGCCTTTACCCTATTGATGTAACCACTGGAAGGACATGGAAGGACTATCCCAACTGGTTGTTTTTTGCCACGGGTTGTTCTGACCCCTTTCACAAATGCGAATGCGCTTCGCTTGAAGTCAATTTAAGATATTTAGGTCTATATCAATGGGGGAATTGTTGAGGTCAATTTAGTAATCGTTGCACTTTGCAATGCTGGACTTGGCGGTTGTTGGCCAGGGCCCTCTGCCTTGTCTGGGGAAGTCTTGAGTCGCGCCTTTGGCGGCTCGGCTGGAAAATCCCCGAACGACGGAGGAGGTTTGAATGATAATGAGAAATCCCATGTATTTCATTGTTCTGGTCTCATAAGTTCTCATATTTTTTAAAGGAACATCACACCTTTCCTAAAGGGGGACACAAAGTTGTGATCCACGCTGGTGTTTTTTCGGAAGCCAAGGGGGAAAAGGGTCCAATGGCGGACAACGAGCAAAGGCAGCCACGGAAAGAAAGGGAAAGAATGAAAACAAAGCAAAAGAAGGCGAAAACAAGCAAACGACGGAATGGAAAGCAAGACGGACCTGGAAAGACTCAAACCTTCAAAGGAAGTGCTTCAAGTCTGCAAGACGTTGAAAGAGTACGCTCCACTCATTGGGCAACAAGACCTTGCATCAAGTTAAGTATTGCTTCTCTTTGTTGCAAGAGCATAAAAGTAAACACAGCCATGAGTGCGCTGAATGGATTGTCACGTGGTCCCGTTTTTCGGTTGATGGTTAATCACTACAGACTATACTATCCTATTTGTATGTCTCTAGATCTCTATCTTCGATGGTTAATTAATCACCTATTTTTTCATGATTCATATCACCAAATTAGCTCCTTGCCTGCTTACACCCCCTCATGCGCCTAAGGTTTGGCCTTGGACAGCAGCGTCTCCACTCTGCCCTCTGGCACAGCTTGCGCCGCGACCATGGCGCCTGGCGAGATTCCAGAGGCGGTGGGAGTTGTCGCATCTTTTGCTGTAAAAAGTTGGGATTTTTGTTGGAGAATTCACTATGAACATCCAGATTTGTGATAAGTTGGGATTAGATGTTAATAGTTAATCAATCCGAATTATTGTTGGTGAACTCCTGTTGGGAATGTGCATTATTGCCATGTGAACAAACATCTTCAAGGGAAGCAAACAATTGTGCTTTCCTCATCCAAAATGGTTGTTTACCAGCCAAAAAAAGAGAGTTTAGCCAAACCAGTGGTGGGTGCATCAAAAAAGGTTCCACCCGTCAAGCATCGGGGGTTCAATAAAGAAGCATAGGCATTTTGCCAACAATAATGGCTTTTCAAGAGTTGAAAATAAAGGAACCTAGGCAGATAAACATCCATTTGCTAGCTCTTTCAGTGCACGAGCTAGGTGTAAACATGCAAAACTAGGCCAGGATTTTTATCCATAGCATCCATGGTCCAATGGTTCATTCTTCTGAGCAGTGTGAGGCTCCGATACAGGAGACACCCACGGAAACGCCCAGAACTCTGGAGACACCTAGAACGCTGGGAGCCCAGAGCGGGGCCAGCTGATTTTCCAAGTGGCATTGCCGTTGCCATTCTGCAGCACCGGAAGGTTACCATTACAATCATCAAATTCCCAACCCACAGCATTATTGGTGGTACCTCATTGACTTTCAAACCTCTTGCCACCACATTTGCTACTGTAACCAGCCGTCTAAGGAGTGGTATGAGACCCTTGCAGCGACGGGTGTGGGCTCCAAATCTTGGGGCTTCCGCCAAGTTATGCATCCAGAATCGGGCGCTTCGGGTTTCAACAGCTCATCTGATTGACTGAGACTCCGGTTCGCGACTCCGTAGCTTTCCTGTTGGGCCGAGCACCGGACTCGCAGGGGGACCCGTTGGGCCAACGTTGGGAGCTCCGGTCCTTGATTCTTGGGGTTATCCTGTTGGTTTCGGGTCTTTTGCTGATTTGCCATTTGGTAAGTGGGATGTACAGCAGAGATACAGAAGGGGTGTTTCAAAATGTTTCAAATCCCTGAATTGGAAGTGGAACATTTGTCAATCATTGAACATGAAAGACAGAACCAAAACACAGGATTTAACCCACAAAAATGGGGATTCAATGGACAGCCATGGGGATAGTATCCGCGGGGATACAAAGAATGCACAGCATTAAGACGTGGGATGTGAGGATATGAGCAATAAACTCATGGGCAAGGAAGCGTAGAAGGGAACCAAAAATTGGAAGAAAAACAGCACAGCCGCGAAAATACCCAAGGACGCCGAATCTGACATGTGCATCTATCACTATCTTCCGCCCGAGGCTTCAGCCTCCGCTAGAGCCAAGCACTGAGGGGTAATCTGGGTGTCGGACTGGCAGTAGAAAACACCACACATGGATGGTCAAATGGATGGTCATTTTTTGTAACGATCCAGGGTGATCCTGTTGGCTGGGGATGATGACACCAAAGTGGGTGCAGCCAATCGATGCCAATCGACCCAGAGTTTTTCTCACATTTTTTTCCCACACTACATAAATCATTATATCTTGATTTTTGGGTAGATCTTTTTGAGCTGTTGCTATTTGTTTGGTTTAGTTTTTTTTTTCCCAACATGATACCGTAGTTGGATCGGAATTTCTGCCAGGAAGGTGGAAGTCAATGCCAAATAGATGATGACGATGATGTTTCTGGTTCGTGCTTCCGAAGCAGTTGATGAGAGCATTATCATGCAAGTATCTACTGCATCGAGTTTATCCTAGCTTTTGTTGGTTCCATTCCCTGACACATCAACACTAAAAATTGGCTTCTGTTGCGCATCAGCTTCGTACGATGTAAAGCCAGAGCCCCTCTTGGATGATTCTAAATTCTCATAGAATCCATTTGGATATTTTGGAGGCCTTTCCATTGATATCACCTGCTTGGGACCAAACCTCCACTGCTTCATCTCCGAGGCTCAAGGCGTTAGAACTGGCGACTCCCAGAGGTCTGGTGGTCACCCGTTTTTTTCCACTGCTCGATCTGCCCGTTCAACGGGTACATCCCCAGGGGCCGTTCGCGGCTCCAGCTCCAGGCCTTCGCGAGATGCGAAGTTCCACGAAGACTTCGCATGATCTGCTGGCCCTCGAAGGGGCCGATGCCATGGACAATCGATATACCAGGCACCGGGGATTCGTAGGGATAGCGGGGATTGGGCTGTAGAAGTGGTGGGTTTGGGGCATTCTGACAGTGCACTTTTTTTTTGGGGGGGTTTGTTGATAAGTGTCACTCGGTCAACGCAGGAGCACTGGGTGGCATATTTTGTGCAAATCTCTCAATCGCCGTACAGTATTGAGGTGACCTGTGGAATTTGTCCAGGATTCGTTCACTTGTTGCAGGAAGAGAGATCGCGTGACCGAATATTTGGAGATCCTGAACCAACAGTCTCATATTGCCAGCATCTGAGAACTCTGCGACCTTTGATTCTGGTGTCCAGTGAAGGGTGGGAAGGAGTGCATTCAGTAGTTGTCGCCAGTTTGGAGGCTCCTCTCTTTTGTATAATTAGTGACTGTGGTTGACTGTGAAGTATGATAACATGGGTTTGTCCAAAGACATCCCAAACATGAGAATTTCAATGGGTCAGGTGGTTTGAATCATGGCATTTTTGGGTACGTTCAGATGGTCTAATGCGAAATTCCAGCTATTGGAATAGTCCTAGGACTCCCTGCCTTTGCAAATTGGGATAGCTTAGCTCAGCCATCCATGGACACTGAATATCTGATCATTTGGATTGGACTAATATCCCGAGATATCTCCATTACATCACACCTTTCTATATTGGGAAAATACCGATAAATCGAGGTTCGGAAGAAGTGATCCTGCCAGACCAGACCAGGTGAGGGGCGCTCCGAACCGTTTTGGGTCGTTTTTTTATGGCAACAGCTTCTGCCACAAGGGAACGGTGTACTGTGGTAGGAATTGTTGGGTGAATTCACTTCACAATCATTATTTTTGATCTTAAAGTGTCATTTCTGCAGATTTTCGTGGCAGATTTTGCAACCGCAGTCGCTCTCGACAGTTACTGTCGCAAGATGCACTGCAGCACAGCTTTTTGATGGCAAACACTGGCGACTGAACAGGACTTTTAGTTCCGCAATCAAGCCGTATTTTCCTTTGTGAGACTCATCCGCCAATAGCATTTGCTTGCCTGGTAGCTGTGAAAACCGTTTTTGTGATGAAGACAGGCGGGTCTTCGTCATTATTTGGGGTTGCAGGGAGCCATTCACAAAGTGAGAGGCTCTGAAATCGATTGCAACCAGGGAATCTCCAAGGCGATTTCTTGCCAAGTTGCCACGTTCTTGAGACTTCAACATGTCACAAACGGGTCTGTTTTGTTAGGCAAAGCCTTGGGAAAATGACAAGTCCATAATCTGACCTTTCGATACTTTTTGAAAGTCCTTTGGAGATGCAGAGTTTTGGTGTAGATTGCCATCCTGAAAGGATGTGGAGGCAAAGTCACCCTGCGACTTCCTGGGAGTCGGGCTGATGGTCTGATTTTGGTGATGATTCGTTTGGGGTAGCGGTGCACTTCTTTGGGTGGTAGTTATATTATGTTATATGTCCTGATATACATATGTCGTTTCCCTTATTTGGGATATTTGGGATGATGACTGGATGACCCCCAGTTGTGAATCATTCTTTTCTGGAGATTGATAGCAGTTCTCTGAATCGACCGTGTGCGCGCTGCCAACAGCTCATGCTGAAGTGTCATTCAGCGATCGCAGTCTACATAGGGATGCCTAGGGCCTAGGAAGAATTCTACGGAAATTCAAAGTTCACCGATCTCTTGAGATTTTAGGACAAAATCTATAGCTGCACATGTTTGTTATGCATTTCTCCTGTTAAGTTCGGGGATAAACCGCGATCACTTGATTTCTGTCTCTGCTCGCAATGGTGCGGCCTCCAGGAAAAGCTGCGAGGCAGCGATGAACCTTGCGCGAGAGTTCAGGATGAGCATCTGCAAGAAACCTTTTTCCCTGGAAAAAACAACCCATAAATCCCATAAATTACTTTTTTTTTGCCCGTTGAAGCCTCCGCAGCTGGGAGGTGCTGGGGACTTCTCCTCGTTGCAGTGCTGTGCAATCTGCAGGCCTTTGTGGGTGTGACCAAGAGCTGCTTGGCATGCACCAGGGATGGTGAGTGAACATCTCTAGAGTTTGACCTTGTCATTGTAGATGTTCCTAATGTGAATTCCTGGATGTTCCAGTCTTATCTTTCAACTGCTCCAAGATGGACATATTAGAAATGAGGACAATTCTGCTTGGCGCCCGAGGTATAGTACCGACAATTACCAGTGAGAAGTGGGGCGTTCCAGCACTAGCCATAGGGTGATTTTCCGAATCAGCTGACATCCACCACCAAGTATCTGTGGATCTGAGGTCCCTCAAGGCCACGAGTGGCAGCTGCGGCAGAGCGCACAGTGGCAGAGGACAAGGAGATCTCCGACAAGCTGGATGAGGTCGGGTTGGGGGTCAGGTTATGGTGAAAATGGTACCATCTGACGGTGTTGGGATCTGAGACAATGGAAAACAGTTGGGTCATTCATTTGGAGCTCTGTAATACCCTGAAATAGGGTGTAGTTACCGTAGTTATAGCATAGTATTGTTGGCTTTCATATGACAGGTGTGAAATAGAGATTCAACCTGTTTGTGGTGACGAGCTGCTGCAGGTCTTGAGGAAAAAATTGAAAAATGAGGACGGCACGGAGAAGAGTGGCCTGAGCGAATCAGCACGAAAGGCTGTGGACAAAGTGGCAGGTGTGAAGAGAAGGCAGCTTAAGGCCGAAGCGGCGTCCTGTCGAAAGTTGTAACGAAGCCATTTCGAGCTTTCCATGCGGGTAATCCAAATCATCCAGATTCCAGATTACCCAGAAATGAATAGGATTATCCAAATCATGGATTCCAGATTTTCATGGGAGTTTCCACTCAGTTTCCACCAGACGGGACGATCACCTATCTGGAGGCACCCAAGAAGAAGTCCAGATCGATTGTGAAGAAAAGCTTGGACGAGGCGCAGCGGCGAAGCGGCGAAGCGGTGATGTTGAATAGAGGTGACCAGGTTTAATGGTATATATATATATAATCATATATAATCATATATAAATATATAGTCACATATATGTATAGTATAATCATAAATATATATCTATATATAAATCATATATGCATATATATATATATGTATACATGTATACACACGGATGGTGAAACCATGTTTGTCGTTTTTCCATCTCTTTTTGGATGATGATCCCCACTTGACTGATACGTTTAGCAAAGTGTGGGTGACCTGAGACGCCTGAAAAACGCAGATTCTGCTGGTAGGTCCAGTGAGCTATGCATGTCATATGCAGGGCTTGAAACATGTTCCCACCTTGGGGACTCCATACCATCATCACCTTTGAATGGTTGGGTGAAACTTATTGACACCAGAAAAACACATGGTTTCAGATCCGAAGAAACTCTGGGTCCATTAGTGTATGTCATGTTGGGTCACGATCCTCATATGCTTTGGGGTTCACCTACCACGGCGCCGTAGGTGCTGAAGTCCGCCAGCGAGGATGATGACAAGGGAAATTACCTGCCAGCGAAGCGAGATGTCTACAAGGAGGCAATGGGAGGATCTGAAATTGATGATCATCAATGATAATCATTAATCTATGATTATCATTTGTTGAAAATGATATATGAATTGTCACTATCCTAATCAGTTTCATTATATGAGATTGGGATCTCTTTATTTTTTTTGGTCCGAACATGCTGGACATCCCTAGTTTTTGCCCCAAATCCTCCGCAGCAGGTCGGCATCACAAGGACGGAGGTGGAACGTTATTGGAAGAGAAGGGATGAAAGCAGCAAGAACTTCGTGGACAAATTCGTTGGTGCCATGGCTTTGTACCGCTGAATCCCAAGGGATTCACGCAATTCCATAGTCATCATCCCTACTGACAATTTTTATTGCTATGTTTACCATTCCCAAATGGTAAGTGTTTATGGCATCGGGGGAATTCCACATTAATGTCGGGTGTTGATTAGTGTGGCAATTTTTTGCTATAGTTATCTGTTGAAGGATGGTAGTAGTAGTAGTAGTAGTAGTAGTAGTAGTAGTAGTAGTAGTAGTAGTAGTAGTAATGGTGGTGGTGGTGGTGGTAGAAGTAGTAGTGGTGGTGTTGGTGGTGCTGGGGGTAGTCGTGGTGGTGTTGGTGGTGGTGGTGGGCGTAGTAGTGGTGGTGGTGGTGGTCGTCGTCGTAGTAGTAGTAGTTGTAGTAGTAGTTGTAGTAGTAGTTGTAGTTGTAGTTGTAATAGTAGTAGTAGTAGTAGTAGTACCCATCTTTTGTCAGCCAAGCATCAAAGAGAACAGTGTGAATTTGGGACGCTTGCGGGGAATGATGGAGTTGCCTAGGTGGGCGATTCTTAAGTGTTGATGGGCTTCAGACGACCCGGGATCTGTATGCACATGTTGCCATGGCTATAAGTGATGCAAACCTTTCAGATCGCAGCCCGCGAGGGGCGCAATAGGGAATCACTTCAAGAGCATTCAAAAAAGAAAACCTAAGACATTGTTCTAGCTCTGCCTGGTTTCCACCCCTGATTCTGAAGGATTTTAGGGACGGGGCCTCATCTGAGAACTTGTAATGTTTGAATGCAGTAGCCTTGCCAGTAGGTGTCCTGAATTTGGGTTGGTTGATGAGAGAAATGGGTAATTACTACCATCCTTTTATCACAACCCCTATATATCCTGCAACTGGCACTATACAAGTCACCCCTTCATCCCAACAGGACATCCGATTTCTTGCTGGTTTCATCACGATCTTCTTGAGTTATCCAGATCTTTGAATAGGAACTCTGGACAGGAAATCATTCCTGGGCTTGCTGTCAAAACTTTCTGAGGTCCTTACTATGTGATTTTCCCCATCCTGCTGCTCATTGTGGCGTATTTGATCTACGACTCTTTCGTGAATCCGCAAGAGTTCGTGACAGCCTCCATGACAGGTCTAGATTAGATCCGCAATATTCAGAATTGGTATGTCCTGCTTCAGAAATAGAAAAACCATAAAAAAAATGCTGGAGTTTTGATTTCCATGTTTCAACCCCAGTGAAAAACCATGGCACCAATGGCTCGTGGGACCTTGTCCGTCTCTGCAGTCGAATTTCCTGTTGATGCTCATGGGCTGTCGTAGCTGGCAGTAGGTGGCACCATGCCTTTGTTTCAACGAATTTTCCATGGCCGTAAACCGTCACAACTTGATTCTCAGAATGAGACCTGCCCAGCCAAACTGTGAGTGTTCAGGTGTTCAGCAGAAAAAGGAGTGCGCCCAATGCGGGTCCAATGCGCACATGAAAAATTGGAGGATGTTCACCAAAAGCAAAGAGGTACCCAAGAATTCGTTCCAAAAGGTCAGCAAAAGACTCAGATGATATACATTGGTCTTACCCTCTGGGAAGATCACCCGTTAATAGTTGATTCTCTCAGTAAAACCTTGATAAAAGTAGGTGGGATTTTCCATGGCCATGGCGGCTGTCGGGTTTTTCTCAAAAGCACCACTGGCTGTCGGGTTCCGGGTCGACAGGCTGTCGATGTTCTCCCGGGAAAGACTGCCGATGGCCTTCGAACGGTGACTGGGCACGGCGCAAGCGGGTGACAGAGTGGGCAGTCAAATTTAAGGTGGAGAAAGAGCTACAGTTTTTGTCCATTTCTATGTCTTGATGGTTGTTGAAAAAATTGTTTTGGGGCTGAAGGTCCCAATTTGGCAATTTGGCAACGCGCATCGACATAACCAGCCAGCTTCATAGGCGCAGACATGTTGAAGTACCCAGTCATGTCCACGGATAGATCAACCCTCGGCATCCCTCCCGCCTCAGGTCTTGGTCTACGGGAAGAAATTTGAGGCATCCCATTCCGTCCAGCTCATCAGAAAGTTGGAGGTACAAACTATTATGATCTATTATTGATTAGTAATATATATATATATATTAGTACTTCATTTTTTTGGGATGTTAATATGTTAATTAAAATCATCAGCAAACCTGTTCTGTTTCTTGCGACTTGGACTTTTGACGCTAATGATACTAATGAGGAGCCGGAACGATCCAAAACGCGAATGTTTCTGGTCATTCCCGTTGATGCATAGATTGTTAGTTTTTATTTCACATCGATTTGTCCACAAGTGGATTGTTTCCCTCTATCTCTCTTCACTTTCTGTTTAGCACTGAAAGTTATCGAAAACTCTCCAGGATGGTTGGTGTTTTGCAGCCTTGGGGTGACATTCCAGATCTTCCTTGGCATTCGGGGGACTCACCGGGGTTATTTCGGTTGAAGGTTCTCCTTTTACAGCCCATGTTCCGCCACTCCAGGTGTGTGAAAAGTCCCTGTTCATCTTCAGCATTGATAAGACCATCCGGCAGCAGGCCGGAAGACTCCCTTGAAGTAACCTCAGCAGCACCAGGCTTCGACGATGTGGTCATGAGATTTTTGTCCCGGAAAAAACTCCGGAAATGTCAACACATAAACCACTCAGCCATCAACCTATCGTGATTGTGTTTTTAGAATAGCAAGGTTTCGTCACCAAAAATCAACAACAAAAAAGTGTAGGTCCTGCAGCTGGTGTGCTGGGTCCGCGGCTCAGAACCAGTTCAATTTTAGCAATGACAGGCCACAGATGGCCACAGCAACATATGACTCAGATAGTTTGAGATTTTGTGTCACGACCCGTGCGACCCGTGCCTCAAATAGAATTGGAATTGATCCGCAATTCGAGGTGTGGTTTGACCGAATTATCCTGCTGCTCATTGCGCTGAATTCCATAGGCTCGGGACCCGGACCCACGGGACCCTCTGATTTTTGTGTATTCTTTGAATCCGTGTGTGTTGAGTGTGGTTTCTTAACTGAATATGGGGCTGTCTGAAAATGGGGTAAAATCCCGGACCAACAAGATGGCAGTTTCATAGGGAAAATTACTTAGATCGTATGGGATTTATATATAGGATTGATATAGGATTATATATATATAAATCCCATCATTGTTTTTTCCCCATTTTTTTTTATGACAAACGCGTATTATCGAACGATAGTGTTGATGGTTGGATTCTCTGAACGATGGCTTTTCTATCAAGGCCTGGCCATCGTGGACTGGCGAGCGTCTGCTGATGTAGGCAGGACCCATTTAGCGCGACTGGGGGTCTCCATAGCCATATGGGCCATGGGGGTACCCCAATAGCTGGATGGTTTGGTTTTTGGAACATCCCCTTTTTGGAAACCTCTGTGTTTCGTTGGTCTCTTGGGCCACTTGGGTCTTTCGAAGTGTCCAGGTTTCAATGGCTTTTACAACAACGTCCTGGATGTATGGCTAACGCTTTTCTTCACCCTCGAGGCAATGCTGAAGGCCATGGCAAGTTGGAGTCAGGGATATGGTTTTGTTGGATGGATAGATTGGTGGGACAAATATGGATAAATGATCTCTTGTTTATCGGAGTTTATCTCATCACTTTTCTGCGCGCAGGTCATTGCATGGGGCTTCTTTTGGGACAGGAACTCCTACCTGAGAGATGTCTGGGGCCTTGCCGATGGCGGAGATGGTGAAACAAAGGATCCGATGGGCCTCATTCTTTTGAAAGAGGACCACTGTATCAACTCGGAGTCAATACTACGTGTCAAGTACCCTCTGATTAGTTAAGATAACTATGGAAAATGACTCATTTGTACATGATGTGTGATGATTTACCTATTAAAAGTGGTGATTTTCAGCCTGCATTGGCTGTGAAGGCTTACTGCTTTGAGGCCTGGAATTGGCTGGACTTTGTGGTAGTTCTCACCGTGCGAAGCCTCAAATGCTTGTTTTTTTTTTGGTACCAACAGGAATCCCGTCCCCTTGGTGTTAATATTGATATTAGCATTATATAAATCGGGGATTCATGAACAAAAACAATGTTGTTCTTTTTTTACTGTAAATGATTTAAGCATCCTAAGACAAGCAAAGAAACGTCAATGAAGAATCGGATTACAGTCGATCCATTTCGTGGGGAAAGAACCATAGCTGCTGTGAGGCCTGGGCGAGTTTTGTACCTGGTGGAGCTGCAGATGGGTGCCTTGACAAACATGCTGAATTTCTGATGTTGGTTGAATATGTTGAAATATGTGAACATCTGCTTGAAAATCCTGAACAAATATTTCCAATATTGTTAGAATATGTGAACATCTCCATTTTGGGTGGCATCCAAATATGGCATCAAGAGTTGAATCGCTGGTAGTCTTGTCCACCAAAAGCGAGCTGCTGAATTTCATCCCCCATGACATTTTTAACTTTTAACCTACATTTACAGAACTACTGAAACTTTAGTTACCGATTACAACGTGAACTCTCCATCAGTTAATGGATTTCCATCTCTATTTCAGATATAGCTTGCATAAATTATCCATTTGTATAATTATAGTTAAAATTATATGTGTGCATTATATCCTGAAAAGCTAGAACAGTATAATCAGCATCACATCAGTCGGGATGTACTTTTCTATCTTTTTTTTTTTTAATTTTGGGGATGAGTATAAGATGAATTTGGCACCTAGTGGATAGTCCCTTCCATCAACCCATGGCCCCAGTCTTGGCTTCTTCCGCGTCTTCCGCGCGCTTCGACCCTTGCGCTCGCTCAATGCGGTGCCGCAGATGAAGGCGGCGGGTTTCGATAGGTGGAAAATCTCAGCAACTTGGTGATCTAATCAATAGAATCAGGTTTTTATCTCCAACAAGTGGATTTCATCAAAAAAAAATGTGAGTTTGGTGTGGGGCAAGGTTTATCACTTTCAGTTTTACTCTCCATTTTTTCGGGGCACTCTTTTGGACCCATGTCCGACAAACAAGGTAACTGAAGCTCTTGAGAGCTACGTCTATCCATGGCTCGGCTGTCGAACGCAGGTCCTAGTCAACACGGTTATTAGCTCAGTCCCCAAGCTGGGGAATGTGTCCGTGCGCGTCCAAGAGGTTGAACTGGTTCCATCCGTGTACTCGAAAGCCGGGATGGTAGTGACCATACATGGCAATGCTCTGCAGATCTGGTGAACGTTTACCCCGCTACTCTGGTTCTTCATAGAAAACACTCAAAATGACACGGATGTTCTATCGCCAAAATGTTGAAATCAGAGGTTTGATGCAAAATAGCTGGTGAATAAACTCCGATATGACCATATGTGGGATATCAACATGTATAAACCATCCCCTTATATAAACAGTTTTTTTTTTGTGGCCTTGGGCCTTGGGTTTACCCAAACTATGGATGTTCACGACATATCAAAGGCAGTGGGCGCTTTCCTCTTCTTGGTTTTTGGCATCATAGGCAGGGTCGAACTTGTCGAACTCGCGACCTGGGGAGAGGGATGGAACCCCTTGCCCAAAAAACAATCCATTTGGACATATGAATCAAAATGATGTCCATCCATATCACTCTATATCTGTCTTAATCTACGTTATTTCTTAGTGTATATACATATATATACACGTATATATATATTATATATATACATATATATATATATCAATCTCTTTCTCTCTCTCTCTCTCTATATCTATATATCTCTATATATATCTCTATCTATATATCTATATATCTATATATCTATATATCTATATATCTATATATCTATATATCTATATATCTATATATCTATATATCTATATATCTATTATATCTATATATCTATATATCTATTATATCTATATATATCTATATCTATATCTATATATCTATATATACATAGAATTTGCAACACTTCTAGACCATATCTCTTGCTGATCATAGATCCATCTTTGGACTTCTCCCATCCATTTGGGACTTGCCCGGTCCGTTCCAAGAGTTCTGTTGAACAGGCGTCACTCTCATGAGTGGCACCTTCAATCGCCTCTGTCACGTGGATCCCAAACCCGTGCCTTGGGAAGCGGCCAAAATTTGGTTATCGTATGGTATAACCAACTAGGACATGGAAAAAACAGAACATTTCAAGATGCTGATCTCATGTGAATCCCTGTGGCAAATCGCCATGTGTTTGTTTTATTCTGAATGAAACCCTAGGTATAAACCTCAAAAACTAGGGTCCGAAAGACAGGATGATCGACAGCTCCTGGATGTGTACAACTCTTGTTCCATCCATCTGCTGGAAATCGACACTTGCGATAACCATCATTGATATCGGATGAGATGCAGTACTCAAAATTTAAAGACCAAGGGACCAAAGATGGGTTGGCACCTTGGGAAAACAACTCATGATCCGAGCTTTTCTCGCAACTCAGGTGCTGTTGTTTACCAACAACTCTGGTGTGCAGTGCTGGTTGGGTGACTCAAAACGCTGCGGCAAGTCGTGGTCTTGGTGCATTCTTGGTGCCACATGTCATCTTCTTGTGGATGGGTCACGGGCACTCAGTGTACTCCAACCAAACTGTTGCTACCTTACCAAAGAGCATAATGTTAGATCAAGGCTTGCAGCTTCAGACTTACCCATTTCTGTCAGCGAACAACATCATGAACCCTACTGAAAAATATATACGGAAATATATGTTTCAGTTGCATCACCACATGATTTATTTGTGTGTCACTTTTACCAGTTGTATCAACAACTTTTCTTGGTTGATTTGCAGTTTTTACAGCTATGGACCCATGATACATCCTGGTTGCTGTGCACCTCTTAGTGAGACCTTATCCGTGTCTCGTGCTTGTTGGGTACCAACATCTATCACGTACATTCCTACATTCCCATTGTTGTTGTTGTTGTTGTTGTTGTTGTTGGTATACTTCCCATCTATCTCTCTCTCTCTCGGTTTCTCATTTTGTGTTTGATGTTTTCCTGGCTTCAATTCCAATTTTTGCTGAAACACACAGTGTTAGTTCAACCCCCAATTTTTGATGGCCATTTTCTTTTGTTTGTCATGTTTTTGTTGGTGAACTTCGCATGCTTTTGCTGAATGAATCTCTCACAACTTGTTCCTGTCAAATCCCCATTCGCTAGTGAACGACATCTGAAATCCTGAATCCATGCTGGTGAAATGCCCAATCTTTTGGCTGGTTAATTCCCTTGTTTCATTGCTCAATTTACAGTTTTCATCAGTTTTCTGTTGCTTTAGACCTCCATTTCTTGGTTCAAGATGGATCTTTCTTACACCAAGGTCCTGGCCCTACGCTGCCGACGACCGACTTTGCGGCGGCGCCTACAACTGCGTGATGCCCAAGGGATATTTTTGATGTGTTTAAACCACAAGAAAAATTGCAGTGTGAATAGTTGGAGACTTTAATCAACATCAATAACTTTAAGTGGTGATAACTATCACTCAATAATGTGAAGGAACTGGTGAACCACAATGTTAATGATTGGTGACTTTAATTGGTGATAACCATCACTGTGACAGTTTGTGACGACGATGTACAGTGCAGCACTCAGAATCACTCATGTGTGTATATATATAATATATATATATAATATAATATAATATATAATATATAATATATATATAATATAATATATATATATAATATAATATATATATACTGTATATATATATACAGTAGAGATACATCGTACAGATATATGTGACCGATGTATGCGTGTAGTGTTTCCATAACCACAATGTATCCTGAGGCGAAGCCTCAGGAGGCTATTGCGGCGGCCTTGAAGAGGAGTCAGCAACGATTGGGCCGGGCACTGAAATAAAGAGTAGCGGCTTACTGTAATTGAGGTTAGAACATGGGTAATTTTGGGTTTAAGGCAACTGAGCCCCAGAGGTTTGTGAATCTTGACTTTAGCAACACCTGCGTCATCAGCTTTAGTGGTAGCTCCATCGGCTGGCAGATAAAATTCAAATTTATACATCTTCAACCAGTGCGCTGTGCTCATACCTTTCCCTGTTTTCAGCATGTGACATTTACAGCATGAACCTTCACAACATGACATGATCGAACACCCGGTCATATTCGCTTCCTTAATACCCTTTATTTTCAAAGAAAACCACCATATCCACCATGTTTTTATGACCTAAATGCTCTCAACCCTGGATGACTTGGATCCTGAAAATATCTCCATTTTTCTCGCCAGGACATGAGACCCGAGCTCCGACCAGACTTCGGGGACGCGGGCAGGCCGCGAAAAAACTGTATTGATTTCATCGGGGGAGCAACCGCACACCATGATCGCAACACTGTCGTCATGTCGTCATGATCATATCGTTCTGATTAAATCATTAATAATGGTGATAACTATCACACCATATCATCGTGAAATGATTCCGATTTAGATCATTCTTCATACAGCAAGAATGTGAAGCCTATCTTGCGTCAAATGGGTCCGCAGGCCATACAGACAACGAGACTTTCGAAGGTTTTCCAAACAGTTTAAGGACCCCATTCGCAGTCGCATTTCGTCGGGCTCCCAGGCTGGGGCTTCAATGGTGTGCTGGCAGCGAGCCACGAAAGTCCGATCCCCTGGCATTCTGAAGGACGTTTCTGCTGATTGCTGCTGCGGCTGCTTCTCAGAGTTTGCGGGAAATGGAATGGCATTATGGGAATGGGATGGAATGGGTGAGGCTTACACCAGATGCTGACTACATGAACTTTGACAACATTATTTGGGCCCTTCTGGTGGTCTTTCAGTGTATGACCATGGAAGGCCCCGGGCCAGGATTGCAGAGGTTTCACAGTTTAACGTTGCTAGTGTTTTTTTGAAATGCCCAAGATGGAGATCTGAAGAAGATAGCTCACTGATTCATGACCAGACTTGGCGCAGCAAATCAGCACTACCAGAATCAAACGACTGGATTTGGTCGAGCCCCTGGATTTCCATTGCATTGTTTTGCCAGGCTGGACCGATATCATGTACAGAGTGCAGGATAGCTATGACTTCATTGCAGGGGCCTCAGAATGACCAAGGCCAGGAAGAGACTGGCCAGGCTTGTCATTTTGCCTCCATCCAAGAAGATCGGCAGTAAAGGTCACAGATGGGCTGGTTATTTCAACCAAATTCGACCATCCGACTTCGGGGAATGTCCATGTTTGACCCATATCTTCCTATGTCCCCCAATGATTCCATCCACCTCTTCTCACCGGCCGTTTGGACATAGCGGAGGCCGCAACTGCATACTTCTTCCTCTTGATTCCAGTGGCTTGGGCTAAACAACATTCAAACAGCGCCTGGATGATGATGATGATGATGATGATGATGGCTGAGAAAAGAGGTGAAGGTGGTGCAGACGAAGAAAAACAACGAATCAGTCGTGTCAGTCGCCACAGACCTGGCACAGAATGACAGCAGATTCACCACTTGATCCACGGCCTCACTGTGCCCAGCTCACCTCGTTCTTCCTGCTGAACGTGGCTCTGGCCGTGGTTGATGAGGCCAGGCTGAGCTTGGTCCAAGAGCTTTGCCGTGGCTTGTGGGCTTTTCACGGCAATTGGTGCGGTTTCCAATTCATCCTTTTGGTTTCTATACTGTTGGAAAGATAGAACATCCAACATGATGACTGGGTTATATAAGTCATATAAGTTATATAGTTAGTTTTATTGATTTATAGGAAGCCCAAACAAGATGCCGAAAAGTGCGAAACCTGGAAATATGAAGGGCGTATCATGGAACTCACATCCTGGTGGCAGACTTTTCAAGCCGGGGATCAATCCACGGCCGATCCCCGGCGCAGGCCCGAGACGATTTCGAAAAGAAGGAGGACGGGGGTTACGGCCATTCTTGGGGAATCTGCCTATGGGAAGGTCGAGGTGAACCAATACAGTCAATAACTCCGCATTGCTCTATTTAAGAATTGGGTCTCAACAACGGCCATGCCTCCTGGTGATATCATCTCTAGTCAGACCTCTACTTTGACAGGGAAGCGACGAAGACTTGGCAATTTGCTTTGAATGAAAACTGTTTCGAGGAGGGGAAAGAGGACGAGGATGTCGCAGGTTCGGAAGGTGCACCGATTCCGCAGAAGGGGACCAGCCACCACCCAGGGCATCGAGGGTAAAGTGGTACCATGAACAAAGGAGAAATTCCCGAGTGCGGGACGTTGTGGGTCCCCAGTTTTTACGTCATTTTTAGCTGTTTTTTGTTATTTTTAATGCATTTATTTTATTTCTTCAAATAAATTCTTACTGATTAAGTATGGTTCTAGATATGACAAAGTTTATTCTAAGTTCATCAGGTTAAGACATAATATGAACATTTTTATTAAAATTATATACTGCGGCACATACCCTAAATCGCATTTGAATTCAAATAATGACGAAACAAAATCTATGCTACATATTGGGGATGCCAAAGCAAAGGAGTGTCAAAGGAAAGGGATCTCAAAGCAAATGGTATGTCACTGCAATGGGATGGCAGAGCAATATAGAGAATGCTAGTCGATAGAGTGGAGGCCAGTGCGATAGAAGTGGAGATATGACAGTGCCTTAGAGAATCAAATATGATATGGTTGCAGGAGTCTTGAAAGGAAGATCACGAAAAGAAAGATGAGCTGAACACCAGCTGCAAGCCACCTGATGAAACAAAGGCCAAGAAAAAGAGGACCAAGGCATGAAGGTTCAGAAAGTACCAAATGGAACACAGATTAGAAGTATCGTGAATATAATTCTATTTATTGGCGTTTTATAGATATTGTTATTTAATTTATTTTGACCTTTTGCAGAATATGGATCGTGATCCTTATTTGGTTGAACATTCAAGTATGATTGCATGCATGATGGCCCAGGGAGCCAACTAGAGACAAATGACTTTTCTAGCAGACAAGATACCCTAGAGAGTTGCCAAGAGACAGATGCACGTGTAACGGACAAGGATGAGGCTGAAGACTCAATGGCTTAAAGAGCCTCCAAGGTACAGACGAGTGTGCAGCAAACATGATAGCCCAGAGAGTTATCTGGAGACAGACAACATTGTAATAGACAAAATAGCCCAGAGAGGCACCTAGAGACAGATGACATTGCTTGAGGCAAGATAGCCCAGAGAGCCATCCAGATTTTTTATCATCTTATTCTTCGTGTTCCCTTTATACCTGTTCTCCTTTTGTTTTCTTGTCAAGGCCATGGGATATCGAAGCAATGGAGGGGATCCCAGTCTGCTTACTATGGGGCAGAGACCAATCAAACAGAATAGGAGACAGGACAGTGTCTCCCTAGATGGGCTATCTTGGTGGCTCTAGGTGGCTCTCTGGGCCATCTTGCCTGCTACAGCCTCGTATGGTATTCTTATGGGATTTCCAGTGGGTTCTTATGGGATTTCTATGGTATGTCTATGATATTTCTATGGAATTCCTATGAGATGTCTGAGGGAAATCTATGATATTCTTATGGGATTTCTTTGTGGTACCTATACTAATTCTATGTTATATCTATGATATTTTCAGATGATTCCTCCCCTCCCCTAGCTGGGCTATCTTGGTGGCTCTAGGTGGCTCTCTGGGCCATGTTATCTGCTACAGTCTCATATGTTATTCTTATAATATGATTTCCACTGGGTTCTTATGGGATTTCTATGGTATGTCTACCTTGTTAGTTTATACGCCTGCCCATTGCGTTTGCAAACACTCTTCAAAGCAAATTATCAGGACGCATCAGGTAAGCATATGAGATATCCACAGAAACAAGAAAAATAGCAAGAAATAAGAACAAGAACAGAACACAAATGTAAGAAGCTCCATGACAAGAAAAAATATATCTGGGTTTGCTCTATAGGCCGTCTTGGGAGAGGTAAAGGGGGGGGGGTCAGCCCCAAAAAAAAAAAAATCGTTTGTTTTCTGTGTGGCTCTTTCTTTCCTGTGAATTAGAAATATAATCAGAGTCAGGTGTTCCTCAAGTCTGCTTGTTAGTGACACTACAGATTCATAAGCATGAATTCCGTAGACGTAACATTTTTCCTAACAAAGATTCATATGTAATCTGTCACGTCGTCTGTCCAGACATGTGGAAACGTGGGAACTGAGAAACGTGGGGACTGACAAACGTGGGGACTGAGAGCGTCCCTTTCTGAAATTCCCATGGTTTCCATTCTTTTGTTCAATCGTTTTCGATTCCCCCTTACATCCACTTTTCCGCTTTTCCCAGTTTTTCGTCCTGGACGGTTTGAATTCCCAGCCATTTCCATCCCTTCTCAGCGCTGCGTTTTCGCCAGAAGCGCTGCAAAAATCTCTCCTTGGTGAAGATGATGCCCGAAGCCGAGCCACAAATCACCAGCGATTGGCACCCAAATCTTACAATGTGCTGCCACCCCAGTCATGTTTATTGGTTTATTAGTTTATCCCCTTTATAACCCCCATTGACTATGGATTTATCATCATATATCTAGCATAATTCAAATTCTTGCCCCCCAGTTGTAAGTTACCCCATTAACTATGGATACATCTACCATAAACATCCATAAAGGTCCATAAGCTATAGATTCCATAGATAGGGCACATTATTTCCTGAGGCTCCTGGGAGGCCGACCATCCCCGCTGAGGATATGGATCTAGATGAGAAGCCCGCATGGTGCGACTGCGCTTTGGTGTCACGACCTCGGGAAGCCAAACTGGCCATGGACTTTGGTGTATCAACAAATCAGCCCGCAGAATCCCCTATGTTTTTGGATGTTACTGTATATATATATACAATATAATATGATATGATACGATTGATATATCTAATGTACTACTCCATCGCCATCTAATACTGAATAATAGCTCCTCTCTGATCTCCTCTCAATGTCATCCTCCCTACTCCTTGCTCTGCATATAGATCCCGCATATGAACTCTCATAATAATGTCATATCAACAATATACTATGATATGATCTGATACGATTGATATACTAGAACTGTCATCCATAATCCCCCATAATATAATAGATATGATATGTACGAATATGCTTATACTAGAATGTCAACTACATCCATATAATATGCTATATATGAATCCGATATTCATATCATCTAATGTAATATAATACAATATAATATGATATGATATGATACGATATGATATAATATAATGTAATATAATACAATATAATATGATATGATATGATACGATATGATATAATATAATGTAATACAATACAATATAATATGATATGATACGATATGATATAATATAATGTAATACAATACAATATGATATGATATGATACGATATGATATAATATAATGTAATATAATACAATATAATATGATATGATATGATACGATATGATATAATATAATGTAATATAATACAATATAATATGATATGATATGATACGATATGATATAATATAATGTAATATAATACAGTATAATATGATATGATATGATACGATATGATATAATATAATGTAATATAATACAATATAATATGATATGATATGATACGATATGATCTAATATAATGTAATATAATACAATATAATATGATATGATATGATACGATATGATATAATATAATGTAATATAATACAATATAATATGATATGATATGATACGATATGATATAATATAATGTAATATAATACAATATAATATGATATGATATGATACGATATGATATAATATAATGTAATATAATACAATATAATATGATATGATATGATACGATATGATATAATATAATGTAATACAAACAATATAATAGCTATGATTACGATATGATAATAAATATAATGTAATACATACAAATGATTGAGATGATTACGATATGATCAATATAAGGTAATATAATACAATAAATATGAATTATGATATGATACGATAGGATATAATAATGTAAGATAATACAATATAATATGATATGGGATATGATACGAGATGATATTAATATACATGTAATATAAATACAGTATAATATGATATGATATTGATTACGATATGATATAATATAATGTAATATGCTACAATATAATATGATATGATATGATACGATATGATATAATATAATGTAATATAATACAATATAATATGATATGATATGATACGATATGATATAATATAATGTAATATAATACAATATAATATGATATGATATGATATGATATGACATATATATATATTAATATGACATATGAAACTATATTATATGTATATAGATACATACATACAAAGAGATGTGTAAATAGATGAACAAACACATAAGTAGGTAGAAACCAGGGAGAATTCTGCCATCCTTCAGAAACGCCGCGTGGCAAGCGCCGAAGGGGCCCTGTCGTCACGAGGCACACCTGTCGGCAGATCGCCTTCAGCGATTGGTTCATGAATGTCATCATGCTTTTTATCGTCAGCAATGCCTTGGCCTTGGAAGCCTTGGAACTGATGAAACCACCACTGCTTGGTGGTTAATGATGTCAATGTTTGAGCGGTAAAAATCCCATCTTGAATGGTGGTCGAATCCTGCTTTTAATGGTGAAAAATGCCAATTTTTGGTGGTCAAATCCCATCTTGGAGATTCGTTTCTACTGGTGCTTGTGGTGGTTGTCCGTGTTCCCTTGAAGTTGAGGTCATAACGATGATGATGGAAAGCTTTCCACCACCACGTGGTCAACAGGAATGGGGCTTGACCACTATGTTATGGTTTTCATGCCGCAGGTGACATCTTCACAGACAAATCCTGATTACCGTCCGGTAATCAAACATGGCTAGCTGGGAAATCCCTGAACTCAATGGAGGTTTTAATGGAAAAAACATCAATAAACAGGAGATTTTCCGCTGCCATGTTTGAGTACCGGAGGGTATATCCTACTTCCAGTTTCAGTTGCAAGCGGATACACAACCAGAGTTATAGCGGCCCCATATCTCAACTTATGGATGTTATATACTGTATATCTCTCTATATATATATACACACGGGTACATACCTATTTTTTCTCTTAAAGTCACCCCAAGGAATTTTCTCTGGTACTAAGAAATCTAAAGATATGCTGATTCAGTATAGCACTGAAAATCGATAGATCACATTTTCCTTTCAAATTCGAAATCATCAAAATCTTTGGGACTGGTATTTTTTCGCATCAATTTAACTGGGGACATCAACCATGAATCGATGCCTGCGCAAGTTCGGCGCCGGTTACCACTAAATGGATGCATGGCTTCATCAGTGGTCTACGATGATTTACAACGGTTTACCGCAAAAAATCCCTGAGTCACTGCTCGGGTCCTGGGTTCGGACAGGACGTTCTAGACGTGCTTGAAATGACCTTCCTGGTGGTCTTCTGTGGCGAGATGGCAGTGCTACTGATGGCACTCGGCGCGGTGGCCAAGCGGTGGAAGCCAGCCGATTCACTGCAGAAAACGAGGATCTGACTGGTTTTAAGCAAGAAAAATGGATCCTTAACTAGGCAAATGGGGGATTTAACCAAGTTGGTAACCTATTTGGTGCTCTCCACCTATCATTTTCTTTTGTCTTCTCGAAACCCTGATGATAAAATCTATTTCTTACATCCTCTTACGAGTAGAACTGCGTCCCCACAAGAAGGCCGGTGGGTTTTGCCGTGCCATGTTCCAGGCCCTAGAGGGTCGGAAGCCCCAGTGACTCAGGGCGTCATGGTGAAGAGTTGATATCTTGCCTCACCAGGGCTCCTCTCAGAGACTCTTCCCTGATCCCACCTTGATCCTATGCGCAACATGGTGAGGTACTTCACCAACCCAGTCACCGCATTCGATGGCACCATCGTGATAACCTCCGTGGTGCAGGCGGGTGTGACCAGTCACCAAGCACCCTGGGATGGAACCTGTCGAATCTCGAATTGGAACGCATCATACAACCCATCAAACTGGAAATGGATGGACATTGTTATTTTTTGCTTTCTTCTACCACCTTGATCTCTTTCGGCAATCCTAGGCACCATCCAGCAGATGTGTTTTTGACCTATAAATGGAAACATCAAGCCTAGAGGTGACATGTTTCTTGAAATCGGGTGCCATGAATATAATTATCTACCTGGTTTATTGGGGAGTATGAACTGATCCATGACCTGAGAATCCTGTTCTTAGTGTTTTTCATTCTTATTCCTATCAAATCACCATCAATTTCCCATCGTTTTTCATATCATCATTAATCCTCATAAATTCCAAGAAATATGATTTTCCCCAATGGATTTCGCTTGGCTTTTCCCACTGATGCGCGATGCGCTCAGGCGTGTGTGGGACAAGCTGGGCCGCTGACGGCGCTCAGAACGCTGCGGCTCTTTAGAGCAGGGCGGCTCAGGTCTTCGGATGTCGATGGATGCAGCACCGAACATGGTCACTACCCTCTGTAATTTTATAGCTGGGTAAATCCACTATATCTGGATATTTATGGTATATTTATGGGATTACCCTCTGGTAATTTAACATAACTATTTTTCACATGGCCATAGAAATAGTGGATTTACCAAACCCAGCTATAAAATGGTGATTTTTGATAGCTTTTTGTAAACGTTTACCAGAGGATATTTTGCTTGGGAAAACATGATTGAAACATGTAGAGTTTCTCCCTATTCTTGATGCTCAAACCTCAGTTTTGACGCTGATGGATTAAATTATTAAATCAGCTATTTCTGCTGGTTATATCGCTATGTTTGATGGTTTTCAAATCATATATCATAGCGGCTCAACAAAATGGCACCAGCCAAGAAGTTGGATCTGAGCCAATCAAGACTGGGGATTCAACCAACCACTGGGATTGAGCCATCAAGAAATCAGTACTCTTCAGTTTGCTTTGGAAGAACTGATTGTTTCAATGTTGGCAAAATGTTGTACTCAGTACTGATTGAAATTTGCAACTTGTTGCTTTGGAAGCTACAAGTTTCAATGTTGTGGATCTGTTCAATGCAAAATGCAGAGAGTTCGTAACGGGAAGATGGCGAATCACAGGGTACCACGGTGATCAGACAATGGATACAATGGGGCGAGACCAGGTCCTGAACAAATTGGCGAATCGCTGGCCTTCCTTCAAAGTGCTGTTGAAGGCGCTTGGCGCCAGGATGGCTTAGCTGTCATTTTTTTGGGGGGGATGGTGGTGGTTGAAACAGCATCGCAGGGGAAGATCCTTCGATCAACTGACAAAACTGAAGAAAAAACCCAAAGATCCCCGCATGAAATCACCGAATTTTTCATTTGGGTGCCCTTTTTTTACAGCAACCCCCAAAAGGTTCACACAGTAATTTACCATGATTTCAGGATTGGAAAAAAACGATTTTTCTGTTTTGGAGGAAGCGAACCAGGACCACCACGGTTCAGCTTTTCCTACTTGTGAGGCCATGGTGCTTACGGCCATCTCTTTGAACTACTGGCTCATCCTCTTTGCGTGGGCCGGTTGAACTGGTTGAAGTGGTTGGTGATTTATTCTTCCAGCCGCAAAAATGGGATGAGCATCCGCAATTGACTAATATGGTATTTTGGGTACGGTTTAAACATTGTTTAAAATCAATCATCATCCTCACACAGCATTCTTGCGGATCACTCAAATCAGGCCCAGTTTGAGAAGCAATGTAGCTGGATTCTCCCCTTCCTAACCTTTTTTTGTATACGAATTTCGGCATTTTCAAAATTGCGAAGTGACCTTCTTTGCACGGATTATGATGGATTATATGGGTGATTATTACCATCCCCAGTTTTGCGGTACTATCAAAACATTGCAGTGGTAATCGAACCATTATTGATCATTATCAACCATTAATCATGGTTAAATGATATGTTTTACCATTTCTTTACCATTTCTTTACCATTATTAACCATCATTAACCATGATTATATAGCCATTATTAACCCACTATTAAGCATGATTAACCCACTATTAAGCATGATTAACCCACTATTAAGCATGATTAACCATTCTTAACTCACTATTAAGCATGATAAGCCCATTATAAACCCATTATAAACCCATTATAAACCCATTATAAACCCATTATATAACCATGATTATATATATAACCATTATCAATCATTATTAACATTTATTAACCATTGATATGGATCATATCCCAAGACTTTAAGCCATGCGCTTGGTCCGGCTTCGGACCTTCGGACCACGGGTCGAGAGACCTTGGATCATTTGGATCACCGAGGCTGGTGCTGTACATTTGCACCCTGATGGCACAGACCTTTTTCGCCACGGAGCGGAGAGTCGATGAGTTCTGGATGGCCCCAGGTTATCCCAGATATAGCTGGCTATTTTTTTGGAATTTTGGATGGAGATGGAGTTCTGAAAGATTTGGTGGGATTGGATGGTGGCATTTGATAACATTTGATAAAATCGAAGCAGGTGTGCGAATCTAGATGTTAGGGCCCAGATCAAGCACTTGCAAAAGATCTGGGGTCCTCTCAAATCATGCGCCAACGACTTGCTTTAGGAGAAAGTTAAAAAATAATTTTGGTGTGTCTGAAAATGGGGTATACTCCTCAAGTTGTGGCCAATGGGGGGATGATGAACCATCTGCCGCAGGAGTTTCACTTCAACGACCCCGACAATTTCGACTTCGTTGGCGACCTCAGATGATGCGACACAAATCACTGCAGCCGCAGGTGACAGTGGAAGCGCAACATTTTGGCTGTGGTATTTAGATAAATTGAACCACTTCAGAGCCTAGGTGTACAGCCTTACAAAAAGAAAAACATCTGGCGGACTCCTGTTGCTCTTGTAGATGTCAAATGTTAACTTAATGTTAACCATCGTTCCAGGTAAAAAGAGCCAGAGGTGCGTTTGTTGAAAAGGTGCAATTTTCATGTAGACTTGCGACAGATGTGGGTCTGGGTCTGTAGCCTGGGAGCCCAGGTCACCAACCGCGGGGACTTCTGGTGTGCAGGAACCGAGGGCTTAGACATCAGCTATCGCCAGGACGGGCTTGCGGCGTTTTTTTTTCCCCCCAGGAGTTTAGAGTTGAAAAAGACCTGGCTTAGGGACCCAAGATTGAAGCTATCTTAGACGTGACATATTTTCTTTGTTGATTCGGGTACGTTTCTTCCCTGCTTTTTCAAGCAATGCAACAAGCTTTCTCAGATCAAAAGTGGTGAGAGACTCCCCAAAAGCTCACCATATGTGCCATGGTCATGTTACATGGGCGTTTTTTTTAAAGGGGATGGTCATGAATCCTAGCATAGGGGTTTACAACCCCATGATGTTTGGATTCCCATTATGGTATGGATGACCATAATCTATATCCCATTATGTTCCAATATTCCAATGATATTCCACAATGGTTGGTTAAATCCCATATCCCATTGTATGTCTTGACTATGGCACATGGAGAAACATCGAACCCCTGGTCAAACTATGCCACTTTGGATCGTCGTAGGATTGCATTCCTCGCGCAAACTTTGATACGTTTCTCTGGGCTTTGGTCGGAAGCCCAAACTAAAAAAACAGCGAAACTTCGAAGTTCCGTGGAGTCAGATGGTGGTGTCGTGATGATGGTGATGGTGATGACAAGGACGACTCTGTTGTAGCAACTTGGTTCTATGTTGCTGTTCTTATTGTTGGTGTTGTTGCTGACCTTGTGCTTGTCTTTGCTCGTCTTTGTCATCTGTGGTCTCTGTTGCTGCTGTGATTGTTGTTGTCGCTGTCAACCCATGATATTTCACCACAGGGATTTCGTTCGTGTTGGGGATGGTTTATACACCCATATCCACCCATCTATATCAATATTGAGGATGGTTTATCATAGAAGTTACTGCATTACCAAATACTCTAGTTCTTGTGATAACATCACAGTGCTGTATGCATTACTGCCTGTTCTTGAGACGGTCGTGAGCTGGTTGGTAGGTTCAAATATATCCATCTGTACCTGGGACGATGATTGGGGTCCCATCACATCCATTTGAGGAGTAATCACTAAGCGGTTATGGCTGTGATTCTCAACGGCTAGTATGTATGTTTCTCGGTTGTATGTATATATATATAATATATATAATATATATAATATAATATAATATAATATAATATAATATAATATAATATATATATATATATATAATATATATATACATATCCCATGACATCCCCATGGTATCGTAATGAGATCCCCCTTGATTCCCGTTGGTTTCTGGTGCATATTCAGACCCAGGTCACCATCTTCCAGATCATGACAGGACGTTTGGACCGTTTTTGAGCGACATCTGGAAAGAGAAATGGCTAAACAGATGGTACAAACCCATGGCTATTGAGTAACAGTGGGTTAGATGTTAAAATATACCTATGGAAATGATACTTCTCCTTGACAGCATTGAATACTGTAATGACATGATGGATGATAAATGATGAATGGCTATTGAGTAGCACTGGATTACACGCAAACAGTGATAGATGGCTACTTTGAAACGGTACTGCCCAATCAAACAGTCCAGGGGTTAATAAAATCTGGGGTTGATAGTATACACCATAGTCCGTGTATTTGTTTGAAGCAGATACTTGTCCTGCCTGGCCCTAATTGTTTTGGGGTGATGTAGCAATCCGGCAAGGGCCGACTGCCACGACAGGAGAGAATTGGAATACAGTGATGTATGCTGGCATGCGTTCCGGTGGTCAGGGAACCTAGCTGCGTTTTCCAGATCGAAACTCTACCAATGTTGATGGGTTTTGAGGACAACTCTAGGGTCAGTTGCTATACTTTTCTTGTTTCGAGTTTTCTTGGCCGAAATTGGAGGTAGTACTCTTTTTCCCTTAATATCAAACACCCAAACACCCGAACAGCTTAGTCTTGGATCTACTCTGATCTATTCATTTATTTTGAACCCATTACAGGGAGAACGTCATGTGGTATTAGGGGGATGGAATTGGTTCATCAGGACAGCCCATCTTTCAATGATTTTCAATGCCCAGGTCCGGGCTTTTGCCTCCTCTTCGTGCTTCCGGCCATGTCTTGAAACTGCATCGAGCAGAGTTCCTTTTTGGGTGAAAGCATGGTGAAACGACGGCGTGAATGAAGATGATGGTGCCCATAGCATTTCCCAGTGATAAGTCATAATAGGATTCAAACTGGTTGGATAATGGGGAAACATTCTTCGACGGGGTTAGACGGGCAAAGTGGAGTGGCTTTTGTTGAAACTCCTATCGATTTCTTGCGCGATTGTACTCGAGACGGTTTACTAGGTCTCCTCAGCTTAGATCGTGCATGAATAAAATACTGTAAGAGTATACGATTATATATACGTATATATATATATTTAACATGCAATGTGTATATATATATATGTATACATATATTAACATAATATATATATATATATAATACATTATATGAACAACATTATATATATATACACATTGATATATACAGTCCACATAGATCTATGTTTGTGCACACACACACATATTTCACAGGAGTTACGAGCCGAGCATGTGGCATTTGTGTTGCAGGTGCTTCTGATCATGTTTGGGCAGACCCTTTTCCTCAGCAACTCCCTCAGGGCTGGGTTGCGACGGCCAGGTGAGATCAAACTCCTGGTTTTGTTGATTATATCCCCACGTTTTGCTGGTTCAATCCTCATTTATGTTGAAATATATATATTTGTCGATAGCTTGGCAATTTTTGCTGCTTGAATCCGATCAAGCTTAGTTCTCCCCACGACGGTGAGGTGTTTGCCAAAACAATTGTGAAGAAATCTGGCGCCAACACACGACCGCAACGCATCGAGGTCTGTTCTTGTCGATGCTGATGTCCAAGTTCGACCACGTTAGGGACAGCCCTGGGTGTGGCATTCTTCAGTGTGCTCTTTCCATGAAGTGGCTCAGCTGGGGATGACTTGCTGTGAAAACCACCATGTCTGAGACTCTGACACGAATGGGCCCCTAGGTCGAAACGGAAAGACCCAATCGACTCCCCCAAAAGCATCACAGGGACGCCTTCATCGCTGACCTGCCAGGATTCGCTGAACCAGGAGATCGATCGTCAACATACGGCCACTTGGAGTTGAATGCGGAACTGGCGTTTTTTTTTGCATCACATCCGAGTCGAAGTCAGAACGTCCATAGCGGAGGACTACCCCAGTTCCAATGGATGATCATCACATTTCCACGGTTTTTTTTGCCGCCACAAAAAATAGCCCATAAAAGACACATCCAAATCATATTGTAATGTCAAAAACATGCACAAACTCGTGCACATTGTAATGATATATTCCCATTGTGGTTGCTTATAAAGCCAACTTTTTGGTGGGTGTCTTACTGTATGTCCTCTATTTTCCATGCTTAAGCCAACATTTTACATCTCTATTTTGATCCCGTTCTTTCCCGTTGTGTTTTCGCCTTGCACCAGGCGATGAAGTTGCGAAAGAAGTCGCTGGATTCGTAGGGGACACCAGCGGGAACTGGATGAAATGGATGGTTAGATAGTTATAATCAATTATGATAAGATGTTGTACAAATGGCAGTATAATGTCTGCCCCAACAAAAAACACATGGGATTCGGATGTTCTTTTCCTGAACATTATTTGAGATAGTGCACTCTAAAAGGAAAACAACTCATTAGGCAAAATGGTTGATATCTATCCCACAATTCCCAGATTTCCAACTTTTCTATTTGCTGCTATAAACGCAAATATAGTCTTAGATTCCCATCAATATCCTGTTCATACCGTCATTTTTGATGGTTCAATCCCCATTTTGCATGGTATATCCGAAATTTATGACGGTTCTTGCAGATGATACCATCCCTGCGTTTAAGTCATTGGTCATTGAGGCCGTGCCTCACGGAAGATCTGTCAGGCGAATGGGCCCCGTGGGCCAACTTGGTGGAATCCGTTCAACTTTTGAACTTTTTCAGACTTTTTGAGTTTACCTCCGTGATATCCAGAAGTTCATCAAGATATATCAAGAAGGCATCACATGATTTCAGATTAGATTTCTCACTTTTTCTGGGGTTTCAACGGTTTTCCGGTTGGATCTTGCAGAGGTTTAAACGGCTCTTGGCATTCTCCAGCAGGTGGCCACAGCAGGAGTCGCCTTCTGCTTCCAGCGAGATCCTTCTTTCGGACCTTCACCAGCTTCAAGACGTCCTTGGAGCAGAGGCACCATGGTGAGATATGGTTAGTAAGTGGCTAGCAACTGGCTAGCTTTTCAGCATGAATCAAACCATCTAACATCATCTAACTAGGGGGTTTGGGGATATGGAATGAAAAATTTAGTATGAAAATGTATGACTACTTACCCGACTTACCCACTTTCGCCCAAGGTGGGTATGGAGACACTGGACAGATGTTGATTTTAGACCCTGTGCTGCGGAATGAGTCATAGTGTGAAGGATATCATAGATGTCCTGGATTAGCTATTGTGTCACTGTTTTTGCTTCAACTTTGCTGGCTGTATCATCATTCTGATCTGCTTAGAGTCTCATGTGTTTTGCCACTAGATCCTGAAATTTCAGCAGACCAGACTCGCCACGGTTCCCGACAAATCATCCCTTGTTTCCAAGCGACACTTGAACCCAGGCAGGCCTGGCCAGCGGGCTATGCGTTGTCGGGGGGCTTGAAGATGACTTGCTTGGCTGTACTGTTGGGCTAGCCATACGACCATGATCGGTGCAGCTCCTTAACTGCTGAAACAGCTCGGTCACTATGTCAGCAGTAGCTTCCCACCGGGGTCTTTCCCTCTGCCTTCCAATTGTTTTACTCAAATCTTCCTGTGCATCACGTCTGGTTTGGATCTGTTGGTGACAAGAGAAGTGCAGGAGCGTAGCATCTGCAACGTAAACAAAGAACGTTGTTACCACACCCCCTCCGCCACCCGAACCCCCCACAAAACACATTTGGGTATGGATCAATACCTATGAAAATACCATTTTTAGGGGGTTATTCACATCCATAAATCCCAGCTATTTTGATGTGAACTACAGCTATTTTGATGTGAACTACAGGTGCTACTATTGGTTTTGACACACAAAACACATTTCAAAAATGGAGATGTCAAAAACAGCACACTGTAAGGGTGGCTGAACACCGATCTTGTCGCTTACTGTAAGGGCTACTGTTGGCGGTCTGTCTGATGTGATTTTCATCTCAGCCAGGGACGATTTTGGTTGGATTTAATGAACAAACGTGGGGATTTATCACCTAAACATCATGATGATGATGATGATGATGATGGCGATAATGGTAATGATGGCGATGATGGCGATGATGGCGATGATGGCTATGATGGCTATGATGATGATGGCGATGATGGCGATGATGTCGACGACCCTGAGGATGACGATCCCAGTACCCGCATCGAAAGGAGATATGGCCGATGCAATGACAAGCATTCAGGGCACCATCAACAAACATGACGATATTAAGAGACAATTGGGTTTTTGGCACATCACCTTGGGTTTTTGATGGTTTTTGGCACAGGTAATACATGGTAATACAACAACAACAGGGAGACAATCACAGAAATTGCTTGGCATCTCACCAAGAATTGGAGATTTCATCGCAGTCTTGGATCCGAGGTTCGTCTTCTCCAAGGATAACCCCGTGAGAAAACTCTGCAGGTCAATCCTGAAATTTGAGGCCGGAGATGCTGGTGCCAACAGTTGGAAAGAGTTGGATATTTGGAAAAGGTAGATATTTAAGGATGATATTTGATAGTTGGATGATATTTGATAGTTGGATGATATTTGATAGTTGGATGATATTTGATAGTTGGATGATATTTGATAGTTGGATGATATTTGATAGTTGGAGATAGTTGGATGATATTTGATAGTTGGATGATATTTGATAGTTGGATGATATTTGATAGTTGGATGATATTTGATAGTTGGATGATATTTGATAGTTGGATGATATTTGATAGTTGGATGATATTTGATAGTTGGATGATATTTGATAGTTGGATGATATTTGAAAGTTGGATGATATTTGATAGTTGGATGATATTTGATAGTTGGATGATATTTGATAGTTGGATGATATTTGATAGTTGGATGATATTTGATAGTTGGATGATATTTGATAGTTGGATGATATTTGATAGTTGGATGATATTTGATAGTTGGATGATATTTGATAGTTGGATGATATTTGATAGTTGGATGATATTTGATAGTTGGATGATATTTGAAAGTTGGATGATATTTGATAGTTGGATGATATTTGATAGTTGGATGATATTTGATAGTTGGATGATATTTGATAGTTGGATGATATTTGATAGTTGGATGATATTTGATAGTTGGATGATATTTGATAGTTGGATGATATTTGATAGTTGGAGATAGTTGGATGATATTTGATAGTTGGATGATATTTGATAGTTGGATGATATTTGATAGTTGGATGATATTTGATAGTTGGATGATATTTGATAGTTGGATGATATTTGATAGTTGGATGATATTTGATAGTTGGATGATATTTGATAGTTGGATGATAATTGGAAAGAATTGGAGTTGGTTCCAGGTAAACAGAACCCCCTTTTTTGTACCATCCACATGTCGGATTTTCCTGTGATCTTCCTCACTTCCCCTTCCTTTCGTGAGCGAATGGTCAGGTAGACGTTGGCAAAGGCCACAAGACCAAGGTGCGACTCCTGAAAAATAGCCACTGATTCCTGGGAGTAGCATGTTTTATCTGGTTATCAATGGTTAAAATATGTTAAAATGATTGTCATTATTACCATGATGGAGTAATAATGATAATTGATGGTTGATGATGATGTTCAATGGGATGATTCCCTCTAGTAATCGCAACTTGGCAATGGAAGATCCTCCACTTGTGGATGATTTTCCTAGTGAAATGCCAATTTAAGCGGGGATTTCCCCGCATGTTTGATCACGGAAAAGGCTACTAGGATTTTCAAGTGTGGTTTAAGACATGAGAGATAGGTGCAATGTATAATTCTACATCACTATATCCAATCTAAGTATAATCTGACCTGGTGTGATTCAATCTAGTCTGATCTAATTGTAATCTTGTTTCATCTCATCTCAATCTAGCAGGATCTAATCAATCTACATCTACATCTTGGTCTTATATTCATGTATATGATATAGGTATTATTAATAGTTATTATTAGTTGGGCCTTGCCAGCCAGAAAGTTATGCAATCATCAGGACTTCGATCTCAGCAGCCAGGTGTTTGACAACATCATCCTGCTGTGTATCTTGATTTCGACAGTGGGAACCTCAGGAAAAAAGCGTCAGCTTCGAAGTGAAACTGGGGTCCCCAGTTTGAAAAAAGAAGTCGCAGTACCATACCAACTTGGAAATATAATAAAGATACTGTATTACGTATATATATATACAATTATATATAAATGATTATTTGTAAATATATAGTTACAAATAATTATATATATATAAATAATTATATATATAATTATATATATAAATAATTCTATATATATAAATATATATATAATTATATAAATAAATAAAATCACACACACATATATATATATACACATCTATATAAATGAACATCTACATATATATATATATATGTAATGTAATGTAATGTCATGTCATGTAATGTAATGTAAGGTATGGTATGGACTGGTATGATATATATATATATATCAACGAGGCAGTATATACGCAACCTTCGGGTCATTGTAACTCTCCTTTGTGCACAGCGCAATAACTATTTTAAGAGCCAAAAATCGATCTGGCTAGTCTGTGGCGTTTCTGCTGTAGAATGTCAATCTTCAAACGCCCGACTTTTATCAGAAGATTTTGTTTCTCCACATCCGAAGCACCTGGGGTAGCCTTTTCCCCAAGAGGCCTCCAAGGTGCCTTTGCTCTGCCATTTTCACAACTAACCCCCTGTATTTTACCCCAGAAAGCTCTGGTTTCGTACTGGCCCCAGAATCATTCTGGGGGCATGATCATCCTCATTTGGATGGTATCCCCATCATCCCATCATTCATTATTGGTTGGTGAATGTTTTTTTAAATGAGGATGATCCTCATTTGGGGATACCATTAATAATGGGGATACCATCCAAATGGGGATATCATCCATTATTAGTGGGGGGTAAAAACTCATGAATTTCTGGACTTGAGGTTTGCATGGCGGCAGATTCGCCTCTGGCGAACCCACAGGATCTTTCCACGCAGATCATTCGGGCTGCGGACGAAGTGTCTTGGCAGAATCAGTGGGATGGCGAAGGTGTTCCCACCAGGGCTGTTCACCCTGAATCGCTGGGTTTCCCTACTGAAAACGGAGAAATTCTCTCCATTTTTTTTTGAAGTCCAAAACCTCTGAAGGTTTGCAAAAATTGGGGTACTGGAGCCACAGATTTTTTTCCCAATCTTGGTGATTTTTCAGCGGTCCAGCGCAGGGTCCAATGAGTCCAAAAATGGCAGGTCTTCGCTGTGATCTTCATTGCCGAAATGGTCATCAAGTTGATTGCTCTGGGGCTGATCTGGGGTCCGGGAGCCCTGACATGCCCTGACGATAGTGACGAGATAATACTAGATATGACTAGTAGGTGTTTCACAAAGTCTCTTGGATGTCAGGTCAAGAACTGTATCTGTCTCATAACTATATGGATCTTAAGCATTCCTTCCGATGGACGCACATGTCAGTAGCCCTTGGGATGCACAGCGGATGAGGTCGTGATGCGTATTTGAAGAGCTATTGGAATTGGCTCGATGGCATTGTCGTGATGGTGTCCATCATCAACATGGTGCCTCTTGGGGGTGACGGGTGAGAAGACATTTTGTTTTGTCACCTCGTGGGACTTACCACTTGAATGGGCAAGACTCGTTGAATTGGGTGGTTGAACACTGAACATGAAACAAATGTGGGTTCATTGGTACACTTACGTTGGTTCGTATCCGCAATGACTATATATTTGTCACTTACGCCCTTCCCCCAAATATTCACTAACCCCGGCAACATTTTTTTCCCGACTCATTTTTGGGCCCATGTTGGGGCTCTTCAATTGGAGGGAATGGATTATTATCCGCATTTCGTTGCTTAATAGCACCAATTATTGTTGGCTACCCTGCAATTTTCTTCCCTCACGTTATCCCCAATAATCATTATGGCACTAACCTTACAAGATGGCACCTTTCAGGTTTAAGTCGGTTTGTAAACCCCATTCACATCCATTAACTAGTTTGATACATATATATATATATATATAAATAAACCATAAATTCAGCTAGTTACAAACCTAAAATCCCTTAACTAGTTTCGATCATGTTTGATATATCTACATAATATCTACATAAACATCCATAAACCATAAGTTAATAACAGTTAAGCTAGTTCGAAACCATCTTAAAAAAAAGGGCACCCCGAGGTGAGCTCGAGCCAGACGGGCTTTCTGAAGACCCTGCGCATCCTACGTCCCTTGGATTCCTGGGATCAACCCAGGGTGGGTGCCGTTGATTTACCCTCTGGGAATGACTAACATAGCTATTGAAAATGACCATTTATAGTGGATTTTCCCATTAAAAATGGTGATTTTCCATAGTTATGTTAGTTTACCAGAGGGTATAAAACAAAACCATGGTAAAAAAAGGTGGTGAATGGGGACTTTGAAGGATTTTTCCTCATGGAACATCTTGGATTTCAGCAAATGCGATACGGTAGAACCTTCCAATTTATGGGGATGAACCGAAAATGGAGAATTTAACCCATGAATATCAGGGGTATATGATCATACAATTTGCCATACATAACATGACATCAAGCTGACCAATGGAAATGGCGACTTTTCACAACGGGGGATCTGGTTTCCAAGCCGCGGGACTTCAAACCACCACAGCAAACCCACTGGAACCAGGTGCCTTTCGGCCCTTGAGGGTGATCTCTCGTAACGAAAATCTGAAGATTGTGGTGAAGACCTCAGCAACGCCGTGAAAAACGGGTGGAGTCGGATTCGCCCCGCTGAAGCGCTGCAAAAAAGTCAAAGGCAAAACAAAAACAGTAAAACAGTACTAAGATGACTAATGACTGTGGTGACTTTTGCCCAACCAAAAACCAACCTAAACCCAAGGTGGTTGGTGGTGGTTGGTGGTGGTTGGTGATCATTTTTTTTGTGGACTCCCTTCCCAGCCCTTCTGGGCCACGGCCGAGGTCACCACTATTTTTGCCTCCATGCTGAAGACTCAGCGCAACTCGAGCCATGACCAATTTGCAGACGGCCTGGCCCTGTTGAGTGTTTTTGACATCTCCTTTCTGCTGGTTGTGATGTATCCCTTGGCGATGAAGCCTGAGAAAATGGGGGTTACTACAACATCCAAAAAAGCAGTTGGCCTAGAAACCCTAGTGACTCTAGTGATGGTAAGTCCCCATTCAGTGGGCTTATCCCATTTATACATGGCTGAAATAATGCTAGTTACTAACCATATGTCCCATTCTTTTCCCACATTTTCCCATTCTTTTCTCAGTTACGAAGCAGTTACGTAGTGTCCCGACACGTTGCGTCATGGCAGTTCCGCAGTTAAGGCCGCCTTTGCTGACGCTGGTGATCGTGGCGATGCCTCCGCCTTAGACATCGGAGGTAGATGTGGAGGGAAACCCGGAAACCCCACCATGAATGTAGGTGAAACCATCAGTTTCCAAAGAAACCATGGCTTTTCCATATGTTGGTTTACCATGTTTACCCGAAAAATCTCAGATTTGTGATCATGTCACCACCAGAAGAATCAGCTGCGGAGAAGGGAACCTGATGCCGGTTTGGGACAACTGATGGAATGGCATTTTGAGTCATAAATCGTTTCAATTTTGGGCAACCAACTGTGACCATACCCATTTGTGTTTTTTTTTTCAATGTTGAGATTCAAACGAGTTACACACTCGGCTCAGAGTTTTCTCCAGTTGGAAGGAACACAAGAGATCCCGGGAATCTGTTTCAGTTGCCAAATTCCAAAGCCAATTCTATGGCACATTCATTTCTAGCGCGTTTTATCATGTACCTTGGATCACGCGCCAAACCTTGGGCACGAGGCTGTTCCTCCTGATCTTCGCATTGTTTGCTCTGTCATATCTCAGTGGTTTGGAGCCTCAGCAGTGACGGCATCCCAGGCACCTGAACTTATGGTGCCAAGATCATACATATCATATGGTCGTTCAAACTTTGAGCCTCCAAGTCTTAAAGTGTGGTTCATCACACAAACTAACTACTTTTTTTGTGGATCCAATGATACTACGAGCAGAATTTCAAGTGGGTGGTTAATATATCCCAGCTGGTTAACCATTAACCACTGCTAACCATTAACCATTGTTAACCATCATTAACCATCATTAACCATCATTAACCATCATTAACCAACATTAACCATTATTAACCAACATTAACCATTATTAACCAACATTAACCATTATTAACCAACATTAACCATTATTAACCAACATTAACCGTTATCAACCAACATTAACCATTATTAACCAACATTAACCATTATTAACCAACATTAACCATTATTAACCAACATTAACCATTATTAACCAACATTAACCATTATTAACCAACATTAACCATTATTAACCAACATTAACCATTGTTAACCAACATTAACCGTTATTAACCAACATTAACCGTTATTAACCAACATTAACCATTATTAACCAACATTAACCATTATTAACCAACATTAACCATTATTAACCAACATTAACCATTATTAACCAACATTAACCATTGTTAACCAACATTAACCATTATTAACCAACATTAACCATTATTAACCAACATTAACCATTATTAACCAACATTAACCATTATTAACCAACATTAACCATTATTAACCAACATTAACCATTGTTAACCAACATTAACCATTATTAACCAACATTAACCATTGTTAACCAACATTAACCGTTATTAACCAACATTAACCATTATTAACCAACATTAACCATTATTAACCAACATTAACCATTATTAACCAACATTAACCATTATTAACCAACATTAACCATTATTAACCAACATTAACCATTATTAACCAACATTAACCATTATTAACCAACATTAACCATTGTTAACCAACATTAACCATTATTAACCAACATTAACCATTGTTAACCAACATTAACCGTTATTAACCAACATTAACCGTTATTAACCAAGCAGGTGGTGAACTGCGATTATTAAAACCACAGAGGGCAGTATAGCATGTATGTAAGCCAAGGCATTAACCAGTTGGGTATTAAGCCAACATTAACGCATTATTAACCTACGGTGGTACCATTATTAACCAGCGCTTGAAACCGACTGTGGTGTTCTACCAACATTAACCATTGTTTAACCAACGAGTAGACCGGTGGTTTGTAGTTAACCAACATAAGCCATTATTAACCAACAGTTAACCATTATTAAGCCAACGATTAACCATTTATGTGTAGTACCGTGACAGTAATGCCGATTTGGGTGTATCGAGTCCAACGGATGAGATGGCCGTTTGGTATGAACCGGACAGGTGTAACCGTGTGTGATTTAACCAACATTAGGACCATTAGGTGTTTAGTACTTCAGACATGTAAGCCAGTTAGGTTAACCTGAACATTTAGGCATTATTAACCAACATTAACCATTGTTAACCAACATTAACCGTTATTAACCAACATTAACCGTTATTAACCAACATTAACCATTATTAACCAACATTAACCATTATTAACCAACATTAACCATTATTAACCAACATTAACCATTATTAACCAACATTAACCGTTATTAACCAACATTAACCGTTATTAACCAACATTAACCATTGTTAACCAACATTAACCGTTATTAACCAACATTAACCATTATTAACCAACATTAACCATTATTAACCAACATTAACCATTATTAACCAACATTAACCATTATTAACCAACATTAACCATTATTAACCAACATTAACCATTATTAACCAACATTAACCATTGTTAACCAACATTAACCGTTATTAACCAACATTAACCGTTATTAACCAACATTAACCATTATTAACCAACATTAACCATTATTAACCAACATTAACCATTATTAACCAACATTAACCATTATTAACCAACATTAACCATTATTAACCAACATTAACCATTGTTAACCATTAACCTATCCCAGCTCAGTTCCAGGCTTTCGCTCCGTTGCGGCCAGGCACTTTCTACACCTGTGACCTCGCTACGTCGCCGGCTCTGATGCGCGAGATGGGAAAGGACGCCGATGCAGGTCATCGACAAAGCATCAACAGAAAACGCAGCAAGTAACAACAAAGTCAAGGATATATATATATAGTATATATATATATATATATATAGATATATATATACATAGATATATACCCTCCAGCAAATTAACATAGACCCTGCCAGATAGGGGTTGGAAGATTCGTTTCCATTTAAAATTGGTGATTCTCAGGGTCTACGTTAATTTACCAGATGGTACACACACACACACATATATATATATATACACAGTATATGGCATGGATCAAAACCTCTGGTACCATGTGGATAGGGAGTGAACATCCATTTGCAGCATTTGCAAGCTATTTTGGTGTTTGAACAGACGGGTACCAGGGTATGAAAGCTGTCCCAAAAACTATTTTGGAAGATTTGACCTGTAAAAATTCTGCCGCTATTCTAAGGTTTTGGGGAAGTACCCTGTACGCTCCGAACTTTCAAGATGAATAACTAGACAGGACTCTCCACGTGCTGACCAATATTGGTTTGCCCGACACCAGGCGTTCACTATTAGCTGCTGACCCCAGGACTTTACCACTCCACTCTGTATGCCTGATTCCATCGATCAAGCTGCTGCCTGGGGAGCTCAGTCTTTGGGATGTTTGCAATGCGTACGACCAAGGAGGTAACCCATGGCCACGTCTCAAAGACAAGGAGTGCATACACAATCAGCAGATGATTTGGAGACTAACTCATCGCAAACTTCACTTTTCTGGCCCTTCCAAAATGCCACCCCGCAGTGGACTCGTTGCTTTGCACCTTCGTATTCGCTGCTTTTGGAACATCATCACTTGCCACTCAACCCGCAATCCACAAAGTTTTTTCATCATCCTGGTGACACAACACCCTACTTGACTAGTGTGAGGCATCTAGCAATCTAGCCTTTAAAAAAGCACATCTCTCTCTCTCTCTTTCTAGATAGATAGGTAGATAGATAGATAGAGAGATAGATAGAGAGATAGATAGAGAGAGATAGATAGATAGATAGATAGATAGATAGATAGAGAGAGAGAGATAGATAGATAGATAGATTAATTAGATAGATAGATAGATAGATAGATAGATAGATACTGTAGATAGATAGATAGATACTGTAGATAGATAGATAGATAGATACTGTAGATAGATAGATAGATAGATAGATAGATACATAGATAGATCGATAGATAGATAGATAGATAGATACATAGATAGATAGATAGATAGATACATAGATAGATAGATAGATAAATAGATAGATAGATAGATAGATAGATACATAGATAACATAGATAACATAGATAACATAGATAACATAGATACATAGACAACATAGATAATATAGATAACATAGATGACATAGATGACATAGATGACATAGATGACATAGATAACATAGATAACATAGATAACATAGATAACATAGATAACATAGTAACATAGATAACATATATACATAGATACATAGATACATAGATGACATAGATGACATAGATAACATAGATAACATGGATAACATGGATAACATATATAACATAGATAACATAGATAACATAGATAACATAGATAACATAGATAACATAGATAACATAGATACATAGATAACATAGATACATAGATACATAGATACATAGACAACATAGATAACATAGATACATAGATACCACGTGACCTTCGAGGTGTCGGGTGGATTGATGCATGGAAGCTTTGATCCTCTGCTGTCCACTTGGGCCTGGGACACCTGGACCTGGAACCACTGGAGCGATGGTCGATGTTGCTGAGGGGGAAATCGACTGGATTTATGTCTATAATATATAATGTAAATATACCTATATACATACAGGTAAATATGATTTTCAATAAATAGATTGATAAATAAACTGAATGTGGCCTATCTGAGTTTTAGGGATCTTTCTCTAAGTTGCAAGTCATTTACAAAGAGACTCGTTGGAGATAGAGTTGGAGGTTCCAAAGATTGGTCCCAGGGGTCCCACGTCCCAGCCATATCTGATGAACATCGCTGAGCAGATTGGAAAACAGCTATTCTGAGGGTTTTTATACCAGGGGAACCAAGGGGAACCATGGGGAACCCAGATTCTTGATACCAATCAGAGTGTTCTTTCAAAAAATCACTTCGAAGTCTGAAGGGCCATGGGGCTGTGATCAGGTTGGCAACAACAGCGGATGTCCGGCCTCTCACAACATCGTTGGGAGCCTTGGTGTAGCTGCAGCTACCAGGCTACCAGGTGACAGTCGATGCTATGCTGATGGAGAATAAATGACCAGTTTTCCACGAACACATTGCTCTGTATTTTTCTTTTTACGTTGCCTGTGTGGTTGTATCACCTGTTTTTCCGATGGAAAAGTGACAAGAACAAATTATAGTTACACAATTTTCCCATATCTTCCCATATATTTTCCATCTGTACGACTTAGATTCACCAATGTTTTCGGGAAAAAAAAACCTCGTGTGCCTCGTGTGCCTCGGCATCTCAGTCCTATGTTCGGCCGACCTCAGACACGTGGCAGCCTCAGTAGCCTCGCACCACTTGATTTTTGAGCTGTTGTAGGTACTCTAAACCATGGGAAACCCATCTATCAAACAAAAAAGTTGCAGTTTTTGAAGGGGATGAACAAACCGCCAAATAATTTTGTGTATGCAAATGCATACAGATATGTATATCTACACACTTGTACACAGTTTAATGTACGTATTTACATACTGTACATATTTCTTCTGTGTGTTTAACGGTTGGTGTTTGTCTCTCCCTCTGTCCGTCTCTCTCTCTCTCTGTGTATACATATATACATATCTATATACTTATATTATATACATATTATGTACGTTTTGTCAGATCAGCAATTTGAGGGCCCTTCATCCTGAGGCCAATTTGCATCGGCAGATGTTTGCCGCAGGGCTACTCGCAGTGAGGAGCTGAGTTTTTTACGTCAACAGAGATCCATGGTTTTCCCGTGGATCCGCTACAGTCCTCGCGGTCCCAGGTACATGCAACCGGAGTGGCTGTGTCCGAAGGCCTTGCAGAAAAGGGTTGAGTTGGGAGGTGTCTACATCTTGTAATATAATGTAATATATATATATACACACATACCAATATATCACATTCTACATGTTTTTGTGATTGTTTTTCTGTATATCTGTATACAAAGCTGTATATATATATATATATATGCATAGTATATATATATGCAGAAACTTCCATAGCTTCCATAGCCAGTCTTTGGGACTGGCGCCTCCAGGGCCTCACCATGACGGAAGAGTTGCCTGCCGCCTGTCCGGCCTCGGTGGAGAGGACCCGAGATTTCTCATCGAAAAATGGGGAGAACCATAGGGTGGCTTAATTGGATTTTATGGTGGTTTAGTGGAATCTAATGGGATTTAATGGGATTTTATGGTGGTTTAACGGGGTCTAATTGGATTTAATGGGATTTTATGGTGGTTTAGTGGAATCTAATGGGATTTAATGGGATTTTATGATGGTTCAATGGGATCTAATGGGATTTACCCTCTGGTAAATGAACATAGCTAGCGAACTGGAAAGATCCACCATTTTTTAGTTGGGTAAATCAACTATTTCTACGGGCCATTTTCAATAGCAAACTGGGTAAATGCAACGATTTAACCATCATTTCAGGGGATGGTGGTATATTCATTGATAAATGATGATAAATGATGGTTGATTGATGATTCATCCACATGGTGATACATATATATATATAATTGATATATATATATTTGAGCACAATTGATAAATGATGGTTGATTGATGATTAATTGTAGAGGGTTTTACTTGTACCTGATTTACTCTGGCTTATGAACTTTATGAACTAACCCGTGACATGGAAATCGCGGCCTCACTCAACCAGTATGTTTAGGGGCGACGTTGCCGGTTTTGAACACTGTTCATCATACGAGATGATTTCCTTTGCAAGCTTAGACATTGTACCAAAGGGTATAGTAAAAGTGCTCAGATTTCAGGTTTTGATGGCGTTTTTCTCGTTATTGGAAGGATAATTTTTGTTGAACCAAACTTCTGCAGGAACATCTCCGCAGCCGAGCAAAGAGGTTCGCTCTGAAGCTTCACACATGGCGGGTTATGGTGATTTCGAAGGATCTGAAACTGGTGGTTTAAGTTAAAGATGATTTTGGCAATCCCCATCCATTGGGGTTGCACCAGGTTGGACATGGGGACTGTAGCTTTAGCTCACTTGCTCCTTCAAACACCGAAAGTCCCTGCTTTGCAGATGTTCCTTTCGAAAACGGGGTGGTTTTCCATTGCTCTACCTCTCCAGTGTTTGCAGACATGCTTCATGCGATGTGTGCTCCCTTGCTACACCTTTTTCTGAGGTTTGGACTACGTCGATGCAATGAGTCTAGAACTCAGCTTCCACCAACGAAAAACATGGCAGCTTAATGTTCACTGTAAGGATGTCCTCATTTGCAAGTCTTGAAGATTCTGCACCTTTTGATCTTTTGCCATGTGAGATGCCAAAGCCATAAATGGATGAACTATGGTTTTGAACCACAAACACGATTCGTCCTCCAAGCTTCAACCAACCCATTGAATACATAGACCACCCCTCTGCCTGTGCTCAGCTCGTCAATTGGTGCTGCCCTGTGGTGGTAGCATGGTGGACGCGAACGGTCAAGTGGTAAGGGAGCCGAGCCGGAACCTGATCCCAGTTCGAAAAATGGGGATTTAGCCATAGAAAATGAGGGTTTTAGCCATAAATAAGGTTTTAAGTTTTAAACTATAAGAAATAGACATTTTGACCATCCAAAATAGGGATTTAAGTGATTTGAATTGGATGTTACAGTGGTTAATCGGCCAATTTATAGGGATTTAGCCATTACAAGTAGGGGGTTTAACCACTGAATGATGAGTTTGCGCGTGTCTGAAGATGAGACTTACTGTAATTTGCAAATAAGAGATTTGATGGCAAAATGATAAACACGCATTGTTTTTTCCGGGTATTCCAAATAAACCCAGATTAAGACTTCCAATAAGTTATAGATATAATGTGGTAAACCCCAAACCATAAATGCCATGGTCACCATTCCCGATGTTGCCAGAATTGGGTGGTTTTGTACCCATCCCCCATTGGAGGTTTCAGAGCACAATTTGTGGGGGTTTCTTAAAATGGTTCCATTGAAAAACTATGGCTTTCAATACAAAAAACAGGCGAATGACGATGATCACTGGGGTACCCCCAAACGGAAAGCTCCTCCTGTGTGTGACTTTCAGCAGCTCTGTTGAGGTCATGACTGGAAAGAACATGAGCTGTGCCGACCTCTTCTGTGGGGAGGTTCTTTAACATTTGCCGCATGGATTTTTTGGAGCCCAAAATGGAAAGGATGGGTTGAATTGGCTTCGAGGTGGAAGTTCATGTGTTTTTTTTTTGTAAGCTATTTTGGAGGGGTTCATTACTGGGTAAACCTTGGCCAGAAAGCTAAATAGCTCAATTTTCAGGGAAACCAGATTGCATAGCCAGCTGAACGTATTTTTTTTGGGCTGGGTCATCATCAGCTTTATCCTCTGGCAATCAGTCACGTGGCTTGTTGGATTGTTTCCCCTGTTTAATTGGATGACTTTCCCAGCCATAAGCTTCCAATCTTAGAATCATTGAAAATTTGTTGGGTGATTTCCAGTGTTAGAATTAACATTTTCCATGAACAACATGTACCATTTCAAATTGGTATTATCCACCAAATTTCCCATGAAAAAAAGCCAGCCATTTTTTCATGATTTTCTCTTGAAACCATGCCATGGCGCAGGTGGACCAGGAAACGAAGTGGAGATGTAGCGCCGCCTGTAAGTCGGTCCAATGCTTGGAAAAACCTCGATTTTTCAAGGAAACAACATGAAATAGCCTTTGTTGCTGGGAAAACAACCTCTATTTTTATGGGGAAATCATCTATAAATGAGGATAGAACTAAGTTTTCTCTGGGAAATCATCTGGCTGCGAACGTAAAAACCCGACTTTGATATCATTCAGTGAGAAAACTATCTATACATGGGCATGAAATTGCAATATTCATTTCCATAATCATGGGTGTTGCTTCAAATTGGGGACCCTTAAAACCACCAACATTGTAACTTTCAGTAGGGTTTCCCCATGCCGTGGACGGTCCGCAATTTAGAGAAACACCCATATGGCATCTTAGGAAGCCATGGAGAGATATTTGGCAAATCACAACTTTTTCGACACCCTGCGACGTTGTGGTACAACGAACGCGCGATGTTCTTATCACTCCACCAAGTGCGAAAAAGGTGTGTTTGCCCGGTGAAACCATGGTGTTCTGACAACATTTGCATAGTTGAATGATGTTGAATGTATCTTTGAATACACTTGACCCCTTACTATACACATGGTTATCATTCATGATCAAATATGATTATCATCGCTATCATTTGTTCATATCATCAAAAAAGGTCTCATTGATATCATTGTCATATTTTCTATATATGAATTATCATTGTTCTCATTATTTTTAATGTTTTCATTGTTGTCATTGTTCATGTTGTCATTATCATTCATATGATCCATATTATCCATTATTATCATTCATCATACTTCAACTACAACAACAATGATAGTATTATGAATGACAATCACATTTGTTAATGATACCATCTGGTTATTTAACATAGCCATGGAAAATGGCCGGTTTACCTATTATAAATGGTGATTTTCCATAGCTATGTTAAATTACCAGAGGGTAAAGTGTCCATTCTCCTTAAATCCTTGAACGAGGCCCCCTACTTCTGTGTGGACGCTTGCGGACCTGGCTTGGAGGGCAGCCCGGGACCCCTGGGGATGACCAACATCAAGCCCGGTAGCTTCCAATGACCCTTTAGACGCCTGGTGTATGATGTGTATAATGTATATGATAGATATTGATAGATATCAACTGGTAGTTATTTGTAAATGGCTTGAGAATCCATTTAGAATCCACCTTTTTTTTTAATCACCGGTGTAGATTTTTATCCAATAGTCAACTATCATCATCAGACCATCAGAGTTGGATTTAGCATGAAAACTATCAGCTCAGGAATAGTTGGATTTAGCATTAACTATCATAGTTGGAGAAGATTTGTCATTCAACTTATGAAACCTCATAGCAGAACACGATTTATCATGAACTATCCTTTAATTATCATGAAATACACTTATACACTTGAGAATACGCTTGAGAATCCACTTAGAATCGCTGACGAATCGCTCAATACGTTTGTTTTGGGGTCCAGGTGACGTTTGTGGGGTCACCCAGGTGCCCAGTGCGAGAGCTGCCTCATGGAGTGTGAGGCGCAGTGCAGGTGCCGCGGAACCTTCGATGGGTTTGAACGGTGTTGAGACGGGCCTATAGGGGTTGTGGATAACCAAATAGATTGCTTGGTGATGTCAGTTATGTCTTTTTTGGTTTTAAGGGATTTGATAATGACTCAGTGGTTAATGTCAACATTATAATGGTTGATGGAGCTTGATAGCTACTTAATTTAGGGAGATCTTAAGGGCGTCGTTTACAGGACACCTGGCTGGGGACACCAGCCAGGGTTTCCTGGGGGATCAGATTCCCTTCTGATCATTTCATCGGATTTTTCGGGTGGAATTTGACTTTCCCGCAGCTGGCTTTTTCTGTCTAATGTCAACCTGAACTCAATAAACCCATATAATCATATATATATATATAATGATTAGTAGTAAGATTTGTACCCGCCCATGCTAATAAACCAGGGCATTTAGTTCATTTTGGGTTCATGTATTATAGATGATTTATGTCACCTTTGGTGCCGGCTATCAGATGGCTGTTGTTATACATGGTTCCCCTACATGGTTACCATCCCAGCTAACTATACAACCCTACAATATATACTCCTATCTTATACCAGTCGAGTAGTAACTGTTCCCAACAAACCAAGTAGTATACGAATGCACCATAAGAACAATTCAACCATTCAACCAATCCTTTTTTTTTTTATCAATGTTATATCCCCATATGTTCAGTATCCCGGATACCAACTGTTGGAGTAACAGTTACACCAGTGATCCAAGGTTGCAGAATCAGCCTTGAACATAAACCCAAGCGTTAAATGATGAGAATCGCAACTCACCGGCACCGGAATGAATCATTCCTAATTAAGTATTAATACTTCTGCATTCAGTTGATTAGTCATTAACCATCATTCTTAGTCATCGCAAATTCATCATTTATTACTGGTTTCTGAACCCATTCATTAAGACGATCAAATCATAGTTTAATAGACTAACTCACACATTAATTCATAGTTTATGAACTCATAATCTCATCGGTGTTTCATTTTTTCCGTTTAATTACTGTAATGGTTTCATCATTTGTTGATCATTTATTCATCATTTATTGACCATTTGTTGATCAAACAACTGATGCTTAACGTTAACGTTAACGGTCACCGAGCCGACCATCGGTGACGTTACGGTCATCCAGGTGCCCCGAGTTCTGCGAGGGTCTCATCCGTGACGCCGCGCTGTGCCTGGAGCAGGGCTCCAGGCGCGATGGCGAAGTTGATATCCAAAATTTAGCCTTTGGTAATGGCAACCATTAGTTACTAGGATTAGTTACCATTAGTTGATTAGTTACCAAGCTGATCTATCAAATTTAACATAACCATAGTTGATGAGTTACCATTGGCTATTAGTTGATAAATGAATCATAGTTGATATAAGCATGAATAGTTGATTGGTTACCATTAGCTATTAGTTAGGTTAATCATCTGATCAACTAATTAGTAGTAGTTAGTAACAACAATAGTTAATAGTTGATTAAGCCTAATAGGTAATGGTGAACATAACTAACATAGCTAATTGGCTAAACTAATCAGGTAATCTGGTAAACTAACACTTAAACATGAAGTAAACTATTGAACAATATTGAACATCACCACTATAGTTTTACCATGTTTTACCATTTAACATAACTATTGAACATAACCATTTTTAATTTAGATATATCAACTATAACGGGGCCATTTTATATCATAGCTATATTGAGGATTGGCGATTTAACCACAATTGATGCGATTCTGTTCATCCAATCTGAACTTGATCGATCTTGGGAAAGATGAATTTCGCCGCTGTGGCATAACTGGATTGTAACCATAGTAAACCTATTGATGTTTGAAACGGGGACGAATCCCATCACCTGGCGAAGGTGGTTGCCGACCATCAGCCAGAGCTTTGACAACATTTGGTATGCCATGTCCGGACCTGAGCTGCGACCTGGTGATTGTGAAGCTGACCAGTTTTTCGAACAGATCCTGGTAAAAGTCTGATCAGTTTACTCTTCAGTGATCCGAAAACTTGGTTTGTTTGGAGGATTTGAAACTGTGACCTGGGATGGTCTTGGAAGCAACACCCCTGTGCCCATGTGAGTTCCGCTCCAACGAGTGGCAAGGTGGTTTCGGGGAAACCACACCCATTTCCAAAACTGCTAAGGCAGCAGGGGTTCACCTGGCCCATCTCCCAATATGGGTATGGGTCAAAATTAGGTACCCCAATAATTGGATGGTGAATACTAAACTAGACTAACATCTGTGGTCCCCTAGGTCTTCCATTTTGACCCATCTCCCAATATCTCGCAGCTAAGGCTGACTCTCTTCGAGATTTCCACCACGGAGGGCTGGGTCGATGTCATGTACTCTGCGGCCGATTCCATGGGGCCCTACGTGCCTTGGGCCGCTGGGGGTTTGGATGGTGAACCTCCAAATTCACACAATGACCTGGAACACCTGTGGCTTCCCCTTCCGAAAAGGATCTACATTCCGAAATTTGGTGCGTGCTTTCCGTATCTTTCGAGTCATTTACTGGAAGGAGGAACATACAATACACCGCAAATCACTTCTTTTAATCTTTTTCTGCGCTATATGGCTATTTCTCTGGGTTTTCCGTGGGCAGATCTGCCGGTTGCAAGCCTCAGTTTATCTCAGTTTGTGAGGTGCAACCCAAGAGGGATGCCAACGAGACGCCTTTGCCTGAGATCAGCCAAGCCCTCCGCACGGAACCTCGGGAACCCCAAGCAACGTTGCCTCGAGGTTATGGGTGCCTTTCTTCATGATCTACCTGTTCTTCAGCAACATGTCACTGGCCTCAGGGGGCCCATTTTGTAACCAAATACCATCGGAATCGCCTGTCGAAGGAACCATCGGAAGAATGGGAGCCTCCTCCATGGTGGAGCCATATGCAAAAAGCCTGAAAAATCAACACACTGATGCAAAGGTCTTTCCCAAATTCACCACAATTTTCCCCCATTCACCAAGAGTTGGATTGCTCTTCACATCCATAGCAACCATTCTGGCGACATGTTTTATGTTTCAAAACAACTATTTCTATAGGCTTTTGGCTCAATCCCCATCTTTGTGGATGAATTCTCGATCTGTCGCTAGGTTCAGCCACAGAACTGATGTAGATCCCCAGATCCGCTCGATCCGATAGGTTCATCGTGAACTTGAGCGTGGGCGTCATTGTGGACAAGTTTATGGAGATGAAGCCGACCAGCAACAACGTCCGGGGCTTCTGCAAAATTCCGGAAGAAAAAAATCCCGTGGTTTCTGCCAAATCGCTTGGATTTATGATGATTTATGGGAATCCATGTTTGAATCTGGTAGGGTTTTGATCCACCGGCACCTTGCAACTGGGTACTTTTGAGGTTGTGAGCAACTCAAGCAGCATGCTTTGATGGCACGTCCAGTAGGATTAAATGATTAATTCATATGGCAGTGTGTCAAAACCTTGTACCCCTGGTGAACATCAAAATAGCTGGTAAATGGATGTTCATCCCCCTAAAAATGGTATTAATAGGTATTGATCCATACCCATATTTTCATCACCAACTTCACCATGGTTCTGAGATGTTCTGAGCATATCCTCCGGTGCGGCAGCGCATGGCAGCGCGTAGCGAGGTCGCTTTGACTGAGCCGCAGAAGAATTGGATCAACTGCATCACCAGCCTCTATGCCAGGTGGAACCTGCCATGTTTGGCTTCCAGGGTTGATAAATGGACGAGGGAAGAGATGTTTTCTGTTTGAAGAATACCACCCCAAAATTGGGTATAGTTGTTGAACTTCCATGAACCCCTATTTTATGGGGCTTATGAAGCCCCTATCGTTGCTGGGAAGTTACCACTGCAAGGGTAGAAATGGATGAACGGCCAACTGGACATTGAGGGACGGCAGTCGATAGCCTCGGACATGACCCCCCGACATGGCTGCTTTTGGAATGTCGATGTCACGGGGTGTTTTACTGTGAGGTCCATTGAGGTCCCATTGTAGTAACAGATCATTGTTTTTTTGGTTCATCAACAGGAGTCTATGCGTCTGGGGTTGACATTAATTATACAAACCCACCAAAGTTGTAGTTACATCATATCTCCAGCTTATACCAATTCATACCACACTATACCCACCAAATTCATCCAACTATTTTCAGTCTATCCCTACTGTAGGTTACCATTTAGCCATTTTGTCCCAGGCGGCAGATTGTGAACATGACGCCTGTCTGGCATGTGGCCAAGTGTGGCTCCGCAACCATCTGCAACCCACTTCCGAAGATGGTAAACCCAATTGACCCGCGCAGGTGTTTAGTCAAGAGGCGAAGACAGCCCATCTATCAAACTAAGAACAACTATTGCTTCTGTGATTTTTGGTAACCTGTTGTTGTGTTTTGTGTTTGCAGTGTTCACAAGTGTGAGATGACCGCTTCGCCAGAGTTTGCAGTTGTCAAGTTGGTGGGATAGGGCTATGAGGTTCAACACCCATCTTTGAGAGTGTCTTTCTATGCCAGGGATTTGCATGAGAAGCCAGCGTGCAGACGTCAAGTCTACTACTTCGTGCCCCGGGATTGGACTCGGATGGTACTTGTTCCCCCTGCAAAAGGTTGACATCTTTTTCTCAGCGGCAATCAATGGATGGCAAGAAGGGGTGCTAGGTGTACAGAAAATGTGATCTCAATCTATATAGGATCTACTGCTTTCTGCTGCCCATTGAAAGTGGGGCTTTCCAGGTTTACTATCTCTTTTTGTTGGTTCCTGAAAGTTGTCTTCTTACAAATCTACGTTGCAGCCAACTTCAGGAATTTTGGGGTACAGACCCAAACATGAACCCCGCACACCGAGAGCTGGGAGCAGGTATCGAGTCCGGCCTTTGAAACGTTCATCATGGGCGCCATTGTGGTGAACACGCTTTTCCTAGTCCCGAGCTCGGCAGATCGTCATTTTGACTGGGCTGGAAATTCTGCCGTCCGCCTTGAGGCTGCCAAGATCACGCCCACCCCCTTCGTGTGGTTCGATTCCTTCCTGGAAATCGTGAACTACGTGACGGAGCTCAGCGCAGCTGGGCGGTTCTGGGTTCGCCCTGGAGTTTGACACCAGGCGTTGCTGCTCTGGAATGAGAAGCTTTCAATATCTCAAGCTCTCAAATCGGACATCTGCTCAGAATCCAGAACTCTCATATTTTGGATGAGTTAGATCCCGTAAATCTTTGGGTGCCAAATATTAAGCCCAAACAGCTCAACACGTTTTCCCGTCATTTTGCGGCTCAGTTCCATCTTTGTATTTTTTTTGAGGTCTTTGCGGGCATTTTTACTGTGGAGTGCGTCTTGAAGCTCTTTGCGTTGCATGGGAACTACTGGGGTGCAGACCCTCAGGGGTTTGGAATAGCTGTGGGAATCTGGGGATGAGTCCGGGATGAGAAGGTCGGTTGACTAACGATGTGCAAAACATGGTAAAATCCGATAAGAAGCAGGATGCAGCTGGACTTTCTTGATGGTTTGTGATGTTTGTGGCTTCTGTCCGGTTGAGGTGTGACTGTCGAGTCTTTTGATGCCTCACAAAAAAATGCCGCTCAACAAGTGTTTGTCATCTTGACGATCTGAAACCATGCCATTTTGGGGGCTACCCAATCACTTCGCGCATTCCTGGCTGTGCTTCAAGACTCACCATTTGTTGTGGGTCGATTGCTGCCCCATGTTTGAGGGGTTCCGAATGGAGCACTGCTGGCACCAGGTTTATGAACTCGTGCTTGGTTTCACTGGTTTAATTGGGTAGGTCTCTATGTCAAACTCAAGCAGATAGTAACTTTTCGGGCAGCTCCCCTCAATTCATCAGCTGCTCCCCAATCATTCGCTGCGTGAATTCCTATGTACTGTTGCTGCTGAGCTTGTTGGGTTTTCTTCTCATTCAAAATATTGACTAAAAGCAGCCAACAAAGAACATCACCTACAACATACATTACAATGACCTCACTTTGTACATGATGGTGAATGTATGGGGTAAGTATCCCCATAAACGGTCTTCACTCAGCTTGGCGACGTATTATAATGATGGGATAGTTGCCTTAATGATTACTGATTCTTGAATCATATCATGATAATAGTAATTCACCAATGGGGTTGTTGTTTTTTTTTAAAAATAGAAATCATCATTCCGATGAATTGCTGGAGAATTATTGGTGATTTTTAATAGATTATAGTAATGGTATCATCCAGCATGATTCGGGAAGCATCCCTTCACCGCATTTACCGAACGCGACGAACGCGGAACGGAGGTGATCGCTGGAACATCTTCGATTTCAGCTGTGTGGCCGCATGTCCTGAAGATGATGGGGAATGAACAACAAGTGAACATAGGTAAACACATAGGAACAAGAAGTAAAAGTAGAAACAAAGAAGTAAACATAGAAAACTTGAGTGACTTCAGGATATCTCAGGGATAAACATTGCAATTTAAGGGATCAAAGTTGTTTCTTTTTCTCGTCTGACACACCAAACGGGTGCTGGGGAGTTTGCCACGGTATGGACGATGTTTGCAACCAGACTGTGAGTGCCACCAGAAGTTGATGAAAGTTGGTGATTTGATGATGATCTTTGATCCAAGACGGTTAAATTAATGTATATATATATATAGGTATATAGGTTATATAATCAGATAATTATATAATTATATATATATATATGTATTATATATTTATATACGTACAATGTGCTATAACGTTGATGAAAAGGATCTCCAAACAGACCATCCGATGATCCTTTAATTTTAGAGTTTAAACTTTTTGGAGTGGTTAGGTGGCCACTCTAGCTGGCATCATCATCAGCAAAGCGTCGAACGTCTGGGCACCTAGCGGCTGGAGATAATTCGTTTCAGATTGGATGTTGGGTTCCCAGAACATGACAAAACTGTCCAAAGAACCGATAATTAAAGCAATTCTTTGTCTATATGTTTGTTGTTTAGGCTTTTGCAGCTTGAGAAGGGAGAAGTTTTGATCGGAGGTTGCCTGTTGCGACATGACGTCGATGTCCACAACGTCGGTCGAGTACGAAACAAAAGCTTCCCACATAGCACAGCTGCTGGTTGGGGTTTCACTTTTCCATCCTTGGAGATAGGATCCGAAATGTCCATTGGCGGTCAGAACGAAAGAACTAAAGATTCGGTATGAAATTGATACCCTCTGGTAAACTAACATAACTATGGAAAATCACCATTTTCAATGGGAAAATCCACTATAAATGGTGATTGTCAATAGCTATTTTGACATAACCAGAGGGTATGCCCAAACATCAGCACGAGTCGTGACGAATCGTCTCAGGACATTCACCAGGCGTTTGACCGACCCCCGCCTGATGCCCTGAGGTTCGCATTGATCCCATCATCCAGGTGATTCGCATCTTCCGCGTTGCACCCGACTCAGAAAGGCTGCACATTTTGGACATTTGAAGATCCCAAAATTCCGGAGATGGCACAGATTTCTCATGATTTTTTCCACTTTTTTCAAATGGTTTTCAGGGTTGGTCAAGGGCTGAGTGGTGGTTTTGGTGAGGTTTAGAATCCTGGGATCAGCGAATTTGGGACTTCACATCTACAGCAGATGGTTTGTGACCTTGTTTGTGACAATTCGTGGCTGGCAGATGTTGATTTGGGAATGGTTAAAACATGTTTAAAAGTTCGTAAAGTTCGTATTTGTGACAGAAGATGCAGTGGTACTGGGATTGAAGATGGCCTTTTTTGGGGTTCCAAAACAGCTACGATCACCATACCCGCCCCAGCCATCACCACTGGTTCCCAGGCTCGACTCTTCCGATTGTTGCGATTTCTGAAGGGCCTGTGCTGCTGGCTGATTGAGCGGCCTGTGCGTTGGGAATGCAATGCACATTGCACATGTATACCAATGGATATGGACATGGAGCATATGGAGCCAAAAGTCCCTAGAATTTTACTGCGAGTTCAGCAGGGACTTCCTTTTAGATGACTTACTTTGGCCTGCAGATATGCGTGTGAAGGGTGTTTTCTTCAAAGATGCACACATTTCGGACCTGCTTTTGCTCCGCAAAAACACCATCAACTCAAGCATCCGGCCGTTTGGACAACAGGTCTCCACGCCATGCCACTAATTTTTAGTGCTGGAGTGGAAAAGTGCCAGGAACAAAATCTTCATGGCGCTGCTGATGTCCTTACCGAAGCTGATGAATGTCTTGCTGATTCTCCTCTTGTTGTTGATCCTCTACAGCCGGACGCCCCGGCGGTGCTTTCCAGGGCTTTCCAGGGGACTTTCAACGAGAGAAGTTTCCTCATCCGTACTGGTATAATGATGGATAATGTGTATCATCATTAGCATGGTCATTATCATTTCTGTATCATTATGAATTCAATGCATGGAGATTATCAAAATCTATGGACATCAACACTGACAGCCATATCAACATCAACATCAATATCAACATCAATGTCCATACCACGGTCGATGTTATAGGACTGACAATGATATTAGCGATAATCGTCATCGTCATCCTCGTCATCATTGTCATCATCATTTGGAGGTTTCCTGAAATGGAGGGGGGTACCCCAAATTATCCAGGTGATGGATGACCATTTGGGGGTTTCCGGGGTTTTCCATAAATGGGGCATCCAATAGCTGGATGGTTTATAAGGGAAAATCCTACTAAAATGGATGATTGGGGGGTAGCCCCATTTCAGGAAACCTCTATTTTAGTATTGAAACAACTGGTGACGACTGGGGATCATCCCCCATGACTTTAAAACCGGAAACGCCGAGATCTGCCGAGGCATTCTGGGCGTGAGCTTGTTTGCCACCACAAAGCTGGGAGACACCCTCAATGTGCACGCGTCATCCTGGCCCGGCTTGCGATGTCATGTTCCAAAATTGGGTACCCTACGAGGCCATTGAAAAAACACGGGAAAACAATGGAACAATACCCCCCTGGTAAACTAACATAGCTACGGAAAATCACCCATTTTAAAAGGTCAATCAACTACAAATGGTAATAGTAATTTTCAGTAGCTATATTAAATTACCAGAGGGCATGGGAAGCCCCGAACACCCTCCATGGTTTCTCATATTTCTTCCCAGACATTTTAGCAACTCTTGGGCCCCGCCAGGAACTTCCAGAATTTCATCGTGGCCTTCATCACACTCTTCCGGGCTTCGACTGGCGAGGCACGCGGATGCGGTTTTGAAACACAGATGATGACTGTTTCACTTGGGGTTTTACGGAGAATGAACCAATTTATCCCTTTTGAAGATCGGGAAGTCGCCAACAAAATGGAGACATCAAGTGTCATTAGGTGATTCCAAGAATGCGGGATACGGGCTACTTCAATTCATGGCCATATTTTGGTTCGAAACATGGTGATTGAACCATGAATTTCTTTTATCATTTTTTTTTGAGAGGACCCCGTATGGATCATACCTGTTTTGCTGTTCCCCAATAAGTTTAAGACATGTGACACCATACTTGACATGGTATCCACTTGCTGGAACAACTCCGATGAAGTGAAAAAGGGTGGCGCAAAGACGGTGCCAAGGTTCCGACCATTTTCCCAGATGGGAATTGAAGCTTTCCTGCCATTTGGCCACTTAATGGAATTTTGTTGAAACGCCTTTGGTAAAACCCAACTTTTTGAGGTCCCATCATGCCAAATCATTGATCACAACTTTTATGGCTTCCCTAATTTCTCAGACTCGGCCATCGGTGATTTCTTGAAGCTGTGACGAGGCATGGAACGAGATCATGCACGAATTAGCAATTTCTCAGGCCGCGGACGGATGTTGGAATTTGAGCTTCTTGAGCATTTTGCAAGCTGGAAACGTTTGGCGATTTTTGGCAATTCAAGGAGGGTGTTGAAAGTGAAAGGACTGATCTCGAGACTTGAAACGCACAAAATCGAGTCGGAAAGGGCAAATTCGATGTTTGTCAACACAGTTTGGGTCACTAGTAACTAGTATATATGGTCACTGTTTTTGAAGGCAGGCTTCGATAGCCAAGGCTTTTCTCAACTGAAGCAAGGTGAAACTTCTCAGCAAATCAATGCCCATTTGACCCTGTTGCTTGATACCTACCTGTGTTCAACAGGACTTGTGACAATCACCCGCTGTGGAACATCATGGAACATCTAAACATCAACTAGTCGGCGGTTTCTGCTTAGCTGATCTTAGCTGTATATGGCTTTGTCATCCCTAAAAATCCATCGGTTCATCCTATGGTTTTCCACAAGAAAACACAATTTTTTTTGGCTTCCCGGAGGTCGTCACCTATAGACAGGGTGACTGGTGCTCGCCCACCGACCTCTTTGACACGGACAGGAAGTATGAGGTCTGCCACCGGTGGTGGCTGAAACAAACGGTTGCAACATGGGGGTTTCCATAAATGGGGGTACTTCAATAGCTGGATAGTTTATAAATGGAAAGTCCTGTTAAAGTGGATGATTTGGAGGTACCCCTATTTTGGGAAACCTCCACATGGGAGCAAGACAGGGATAGGTGGTCAAATGCAATTTAAATGAAGAAAGGGTGGGAATAGAGAAAAGCAACCACCACGGTACATGCCATACAAACAGCAAACATCTGTTATGGCCAATGTAAAGGGATATGCTCGGACAACACAACCAGAAAACACGGGATTTCCATGGTTCATTTCAGTAGGATGACCTTCCTCACAGGTGCTCAAAGAGAAGTGCCTCATTGACAACCCAAACAGCTGCGTGGGGAAATCACAGCTGCGGCAGAAGGAAACTGATGATTGGATGCGATGCAAGATCCAAACATGGTATGTATGTGCGGAATGTAATGTACACAATGTAATGTCATGTCATGCCATGCAATGCAATGCCATGCCATGTAATGTATGTATGTACATATAATATATATATATATGTATGGCACATATATATATATACATACAGTATATATATATATACATATACATACAGTATATATATATATATACATACAGTATATATATATATACATACAGTATATATATATATTTACACATGATATAAAAAATATGTATATGTGTCCACAGACAGTCTATATGCTGTACTGGTGCAGTCAGCACACCAAACTTCAGTTTGGACTTCCTCCCTTATGCTGCCACCCCTTCCGATGTTTTTGTTTGTCGGTGCATCTCCGGATCTAAGGCCCAAAACCCATATTTCTCGTTCATCTTCTGGGTCGCACCCTCAGCTACGGATCACTGGGCACTGTGGAACTTGCCAAACTTTTAGCATTTTACCCAACATCTCAGAAAATTCAGAGGTTATTTCCAGTTGCTAAGCAGTGAAACTCCAATTATATATATATATGTATATATAGCTGACAGGCTGAGACCCGGCTCGATCTTTGCAGCTCAGGTGACCTACACCTTGCTCATCACCTTCATGGCCTGTTGCCTCAGCTATGTCCTGACCATCAAAGGATATCAAAGGTCTTAAGTACTCCCATATTTTTTGTTTGACAACTAGGAATGAGCAATTTTGTGATATTTTGTGGGGGATTCTGCAAAGTTTGAACCTCTTACAAAAGTACCACTTGGTATCTTTTGTTGAGCAGTTTCCCTTCTGAGGTGATGAACTTGGTCATTGCCGTCATTTTGGAAGGCTACGAGGCTTGGGTTCTCTGGGTCTTTTGTTTTGTGTACTTTATGGACATTTATGGAGATATGAAAACTCAGTTTTAGTACAGACAATGAGCTAGGGGCCCTTTTCCCATCGGACAAATCAATGTCACCGGCGGCACATGATGCGTGGATCTCCTGATGGAACCCCCTCTGCATGCCCATGATCGCTTCCGACACACTGGATTCCCTTCTCATATTGACCCATTTTGTGGCCATTCAAAGAGGGTTTCGTGGCGTGCGAAACGACGATCCACCGCTTCTACGAAGGATGGAAAGGAGAGCCCAGCCTCTGAAGTCGTGGACGTCTGCGTGAAGGCGAGGGACGGAAAAGATGGTGGGAGGCGGTCGTATGTGCCTTGCGTTGAGGAAGAGATGTGAGGAAGTTTGCTGTTGAGGGTTCAATCAGGACTCAACATATTTCTATTTATATCATGCATTCATACTTTTGCTTTGTATGTGGAGATGAATATATTGAGTCACAATAGTCTTGTGTGAAGCAGAAGTATCTGATCTTTTGAATCTGCAAGATGTCAACTCTTCAAGTTGCCTCCTCAATTGTCGCCTTTCCATGCTTGCAGTTGTGGTTGAAGCATGACCCTGATCATCGCATGTGCTGGCCTCAAAGATGGGTACTGTTCGAGCCATTTCGAGCCCCTTGTTCCCTTGGTGCAACAGGGCGGTGAAGGTTCCGAATGAAGTACGATGTACATCTCAGGTTGAGTTTGTCAATCAGATCGAGAGAATACCCGTTGAAAAATCGCTGGTTTTCCATCATTTTCCCAAGATTTCAATCACTCGATTTTTCCATTTCCCCACCTTGAGACCAACCCGCAGCCGCTCCATTTTAAGGTCGTTGCCTCTGGGCCAAGCTTTGAATTTCATCAACAAAGCCTGGGGCCTCGATTCGTCTTCGACTCTTCGACTCGTCTTCGACGATGATAACTGGGGGTACCCCCATGACTTAGGAAACCCCCAGACCCCCAAATAGCCATTTTGAATCAGAAAAATGGTGATGATCAATCCGGGATCGGGGATGCTCTACTTTGAGACAGACTGGAAAAATGCGATGATGGCGAGAGCTAGTGTTAAGAATACCACATCATCCACCTCACCAACAATATTGACCTATAGTCGTTATCACATCAAATAAGTGGAAATAGGTGGAAATTCAAAAACATACCACATGTTAATATTAACCAACCGATCAAACGGTCATTTTTGAAATATGTGGAACACCATCCATTAATTTTGATGGTGAATTTCTATTTTGATGGTCATTTTGATGGTAATTTTGATGGTAACACAGGTGTTCACCTTTGACCTTCGACTCATCCCTTGCTTTTCAGGGTGACCCATCCCATGCTGCGAGGCATTGCGTGAAGTCGAGGGACAGCAGCTCGGCTATGGTCCAATGGTAGGTTTGTCGCGGTTTCGATTGTTTGGTCACTCCCAAAAAAAAGTTTAGAGTTGATGATGTTACGTTGGTGATGGGGTGGGGTGGGGGTGGGGTGAGGGTATGGCAATGGATGCGGCGCAGAACAAACATGCGCGGAAACAATTCACAGAAATTGGCTGCCATGAGCAATTTGTTTCATGGTTGAAGTAGTTTTTGGAAACTGTAAAAAAGGGCCTGCAGAGCTCGATGCGCAGTTACAAGGGGAAGTGCGAGCAGAGACCCTTGAAAAAACCAGGCGCCTCTCAGCGCCGTTCCCCAGTAGTTAATACTTATAATTATAATTAGTAGATGTGAGTTTTTATAAGTTTTGAATTTTAAAAACCAAAAGGTGGAAAAGGCATAAAAAGCTTTCAACTTATCACTCTTCTAGTAGGATTGCGTAGCCACTAAAATCTAAACAGGAGTTTTTGAGCCCGTGACACATAGACAAGGGGATTCTGAGGAATCACTAGGAGGATTCTACAGTACCCACTGGGGATATTTTCATGAACAGAAGTGGGGAATCATGGGGATGCAGTCTCATTGCTTCTTCAACCAAGAACCTATTGGTACAAATATGACTCCTTACTGTACTAGAGACATTGAGATATCACTACTGTAATGGGTATCATTCACAATTGGGATACCCCCCGATCATCATGGCAATGGACAATATCCCATTTATAGATTCGATTTCCTCATTGAACAATTCCCCTTTTTGGCGGATTTTCAATTGCCACGTTTCTTCACCAGAGGGTACCCAAAAAAGATCACAAAAAAATGCTACTGCTAGAAATGACTGGCATTTGTGTCTCTCCGAGGCCTTGAGGTGTTGACCCAAATGTAATGACCAAAGCACGAGGGTCAGAATGCCTTGGACGAATGAATAAACATATGATAAAATATGCATAATTACGCCTTGATATATTTACTTATAACCAACAGGAACAACGTAACAATTCGCTTGGGATCGTTTGTAATCTACAAGTAGATTCGGGCCATCCAATTTCGCATAATGATGTTACGGCCACATGGGGGGTGGGTACCACGCCAGGGTGATCTGACTGTGCACATGTGTCACAGGCTGACAAAGGCTGACAAAGGATGATTGGTTAGGAAACCAGGAAGCTATCAGTTGGGACGTCCATTGGTTTAGAGTGACGTATGAAACATGTTGAAGATAGGCAACCAGGTCCAGGACGGCCATACCAAAAATTCCTCATACTTTGATTCCCCCATCGTTGGGTCGGCGTTCACTTCTAAGATTTGTTGATGGTTCATCCCATTCCTGGGGGTATACCCAATAAAAAACTCCAATTGGGGAGTGGTTGATTGTTGGCACCTCATGCGACGGCTCACGGCATCACGGCACCAAGGGGCAATGATCCAGTACCTGCAGGTGGGAGCAGTTGTTGTGCAGAATTCTGCAGATTTGCAATATTGACACCATGGATGTAATCGGGATATGATAGGGATATGATACATGATATGATTGGAACATTCACCCTTGTGGCTATGTAATTCTTCGGCACCTAGGAGCGAACGGTAAGGAGCTATGGGTATCCATATTCCCAAAGGATTACGGTTTCCCAGCCGCATTTTGGAAACTTCTCTCTGTATCCCCCAAGTTTGGAAATCTGATGTTCCAAGTAGACATTTGCCTCTGTGTTGTTTCCTTTTTTTGAATCCGCAAGTTGGGCTGCGGTGCGCGTTGACAGGTGGTCCCAATTCCTTTAGTGCACTGCAGGCTGGAAGTCATACGGTGGACCCACCACTGAGCAAGGGTTTCGTCTGAAAATAGGGAATGCAAAGAACATGAATCATGGGAGTATATCATAGTTTCAACTGAAAATAGTGAACATAAGGCATAGGGAATCACTTTTCCTCTAAAGAACATGCGAGTTTTGGGGTATATCATACTTTCAACAATTTTCAGACATCCCTCACCCGCATGTCCCCATTTGGTCTCAGAGCCTGCCTGACAGTCTCTGCCCATGAAGTATGTGGCTGCGCTAGACGTGCAGGTGGTGGCTGCCAGTCACAGATGGGTGTTTTGTCACAGATGGTACCCCAAAAACATCCAAAAACCCATGGTTTTTCTATAATCAAAAGACACCATCTTGGAACGATCAAAAATAGGTTTACCATTGTGGGAAACCTCCCAGATGATAGTGATGCTGGTAGCAATGGCTGAAGCCTGATATGATCTTGGCAACTTAACTTACGAAAGTCGCTAAAAAGGCACCCAGGACTGAGCACTTGATTCTCTGTCACACCTCCTGGCTGCCAAATTTCATAGCTTTGTTTGGAAATAGGCCACCCCCAAAAAATCCAAAATCCAAGGGTTTGTCATCATTTTCCCATCAAAATAGCCATCGCCGATGAATCCCAGCATTTTTGGAGAAGCCACCGGGCCACCGCTCGTTTTGTCAAGCGCAGGTGGGTGAGAACGGCCGCGTGCATTTCATCTCGGCCTGCAAGCAAGTCATGCGCTTCGTCTGCCTGGGCGATGACCTGGTGCCCCCCGACACGCTTTGGGACGGTTTCCCAGGGCGGTGGGAGCTCAGGTAGCTGTTGGATGGGCCAATTCATAGCTTCAGTTCTTGATTCCTGGGAAATCGAGCAACAGAAAGTGGAGGATGACTACAGGGGTTTCCTACAAAATGGGGTGACCCCAAGTTATGACCCAAGCTATTGGTACTGTATTATTTTGGTTTAAGAATGTTTAAGAGGGATCCCCAACTTTTTTCCAACGATGAAACCACAATGGTTCAGGTCCTTTTTTAACGATGTCGTGCCAGGCCAGTCTCGAAGACCTAGAGACGGTAGAGGAGAGGATGGAGCAAAAACAACGAGATAAGCTCAGAAGGTCCTGGGACGCAGATCTCAACATGGAAGCAACGGAACTATGGCGGGATTTCATGGGAAAAAGACACAGGAATGAACATTTCATCATATCTGAGAATTAATGAGATTTTTGATGGGGATATCATCTGGGAATTACAGGAAATTGATAAATTATACAGTTACATCATATGACATGTGGGATTTTTCACCATCAGAAAATGGGATATTATAGTGGTTAAGTGTGGTTCACTAGCCAGTTTAGAGGGATTGAAGTCAAAACGGGATTGACCATCTGATACCCGGGCATGACTTCCGATACCTCAAACGCCATGCGAGTTTCCCAAATTTTGGGGTCCCCAATGGATTGGAACTGCGGTTCTAGGGAGCAGTGAGACGTTCGGGTTGATACAAATGCGCTTGGTAGTTTCCATCATGGATTGTGGTAATCCCCAATATATTGGATAGTTTATAACCGCATATAGTCATCAACCAACAGGGGTTTTGAACACTGCTCATGTATTTTCTGGGTTTTCACCCCAATTTTGAATGCCAGAAAAAACGTTTCGTGCCCCTGATCTCGTATTTTTACCCGCAGCCAAGGTGTTTGTTTCCGCTTAAGCCAGGTGTACCACTTGAGGGTGGTCAAGAGATTTTGAGGTATAACTCAAAACTGAGTTGTTTGAGTAATGTATATATATATATATATGTGTTATATATATATAGATATGTATATTCTATCATCATCCTGAAGTAGATAGACTATGAGATTTTCGAACATATTTCCATGTTCGTGAGGATGTTTATTCCCAAAACAACCAGATTCTATCTACTCCAGATACATATAAACTATATATATATATATACATAAATGATGGATCTGGTTCCCTCCAGGCTGGTGGAGAAGAGCGAGCTCAGGAACCAAGGGAAACTCCCGTCGCTCGGATCGATGGTTAGACTTTGTTTGGCTGGTTGGAATGCATTGATGGCTAGATGCTTTCTGGCTGGTTTGAATTGATGTTCTAAGAATGGGGTACCCCTAAAATCTAGTGGTTGATCCTCCATTTCCTGACTAAAGTTGACATTTTGGGATATCAAACATCCAGGGATGGCCCACTGCTGGAGTGAAAAGGCCATTATGCTCCATTTCCGGACCCGTGTAGGGGTCGGGCAGGTCCCCAAAAAGATCGAAGCTCCCACAACTATTGGGCCATTGAAAGTACTCAGGGGCTACCCGCGACCAAGGAGAGATGGCTTGATGGAGGGGTTGAGTTTTGCCGGCCGCGGACCCAAGGGCTGAGTTCCTGATGTGCTTGGTATCGTCCAAACGATTTTGCCAACTTGAGATATTGCCATGATTTGTTTAACAGAGAGAGAGAGAGAGAGGGAGAGAGGGAGAGAGGGAGAGAGGGAGAGAGGGAGAGAGGGAGAGAGGGAGAGAGGGAAAGAGGGAGAGAGGGAGAGAGGGAGAGAGGGAGAGAGGGAGAGAGGGAGAGAGGGAGAGAGAAGATGAATTCTTTGCTGATGGCTGAGTGATGCTTCGCAGCTTCGCAGCTTCACATCAGTTGTCTCAGTTTTGACGTTCGAAAAACCCATCCGGCTTCACTGAAACACCAACATGGGGAAATTACTTCACCATATTTCACCGAAGTGACTATACTGTTCTTTGTCTAACGGCGCAAAAATGCATGGGTTTCTCCTTTCTTCACCGTTTTATCTATTTCAAACTGCCAGAAAATACCCCATTTTTCAGATAGACCCAAATGTCATATCGTTGCCCCGTTATATCCCATTCTACCCTGTGATATCCCCATCCCCAATCCTGTCACCGAGGCAACAAGAGTGCCAAGGGTGCGAAGCTACCAATGGCAAACCTGAAAGAGGAGGTGTTTTCGATGGGATTTTCGGTCCACGAATGGCGTTTTTTTTTTCTGTAGCCATAGTTTTTTCAGCCATGGATGGGATAACCCCACTGAATGGGGACATACTAATTGGGATGATCCTCCAAGCAGCGCCTTGGTCAGAAAGGGTCAGAAAGGGGAGCCGTGTTTGAGTTGGAGCAGAAAACATCGTGGTGACTTTATGCACCAAGAAAAAATCTGGGGAAATGGGACCCGACCAAGAAAATTATGTTGTCAACCTGCAAAACAATGAAGTTCCTGGTTCTTGGGTTCAAACTTGTTGAATCTGTGTGTTGTAGCTTAGTGACTCAGGCACGAATTTGAATGTGGCGTGCGCACGGTTGAGTCCAAATCTGTCGGATGTACCAAACAACGGTGCCCGCAACCAAGCATGAATGCCTCACTTACTCAACAAAGTGCGCAGAATGAGATAGCCACTGTCATAGGGATTTTAACATGCTTTAAACCGGCCTATAATTAGATGATTAAACATGACCTTCCTGTGTCTCGGTTAATCTGCTTGGGTTGAACCCTTTGGGGAATTGAAACCTTCAACAGTACCTGACGGTCAGGTTGCCGCTCTGAAGCTGCAAACAGCAAGCAGCCCTGGAAAAGAAGCCGTGGTAGCAGGGACTATGGTTGACACTTGTTGATTGGAATTGCTGGTCCAGCTGGGGTTTTACTACCTAGTTTGGACATGCTATCAATATGTATCAACATTATAACTATTAAGTCAGACACTGGCATCTGACGTCAACACTTCCATAGAGCCGACTCTGGCCCAGGCATGGCACTCTGTGCTCAAGGGCAGAAGTCCCAAAGCACGGCACCAGGTGACGATGGGTCCAGGGGGGCGAGCTGGGAAAAACATATCGCTGTTGCCGGGGCCTGGGGGCCTGAAACTCATCGATCCATTCGGAAGTCACAGCAGACATCCGGATCCCAGAATCATTCTATGGGATTCACAGCTGGTTAATATATGGTTAATATATGGTTAATATATGGTTAATATCAGCTGAAATAGAGGCAGCATAGACATTTCTTCTCACCCAAAACTGCAATTCTCGGTCGGAAAAAGGATGGAAAAGGCACATTCATCGCGGTCACGCTACTGGCAAATGCTACCGGAAGATTCACCATGTTCCAGTTTCAAACCTATCAAAGTTTCTCAAAATGGGACACCCGGATCCACCAGGATTCCTTGATAAAAGATGATAAAAGTGTAAAGTTGCAGTTCAACTGGGCCGAAGAAGTCCCTGTTTGCAGGGATCGACGTCATCATCCAAGGCGGGTGGGGCGGGGGGAAAAGCGTGAGTTTCATGGCGCCACACCCAAAGATTCATAGTCTGTGTCTGACCCCAAATTCTCAGGGCTCCAACCTGCCAATTGGTAAATGATCGTGGTAAATGATCGCCACAAGGGGGGGAATCCGTGAATTTACCTCTTTCTTTCCCCCATTTTTCTCGTTGTATCTGGGGTGCACGGGTCTGAGCGGCCCAGGAGGAGCCGAAAGCGGAAGTGACCGAGACACAAGTGACAGTGCAGCCGCGGGCCCAGAAGTGGGTTCTCCCATCATTTCTGAAAATGGGAGATTCACCCCCCAAGTTACAGCCAGAATTATAGCCATATTGGAGGTTTCCTGAAATATTTTTGTACCCCAATAGCTGGATGGTTTACTTCATGGAAACTCCGAAAATAACATGGATGATTTGGGGGTACCCCCATGACTTAGGAAACCTCCATATTAACCACTGGAGTTGAGGGTACCCAGGTCCGAGCCGGATAGCCCTGTTGGTGGCATCGGCCAGGTGCGAGTCATTTGTTGGGATGGAAGATGTGGGGTTCGTTTTTTTTTTTCCCCTGGAAAAAGTGAGGATGTTTTTTTTATGTTTTTTCCAACAAAAGGGGAATTTACAGTAAACTCCAAGATACTGCCGGGCGTGATGATTAGACACTTGATTTTCTCAAGCCAAGATGAAGAATATGCCCATATCTCGCCTTCGAATATGTCACGCCGGCCAAAAGGATCACCAACATGGTATGGTGTATGGGTATGGGGGCATATGATGTTGAACCGGCTGGTCTGTACCATTTTTTTGTTTGGCTTCCCCAAAATGGCATTATTGGGGCCCAAACCCAGTTGACATTTTGGGGACGGGCGACTTAAGGACCAATCAAAATCCATTTTGAGGATTTGGCAACGCTGATGGCGTTTCCACTGATGAGTGTTGAGACTATTCCGAGAAGGGTCAGTGACATTTCACAGCTTAGCAAGAGCTCACAACTAACCATCTTATAGCCAATTGGTGTCCCGGAACAACCAAGGAATTGGACTGTTGAACAGCCTGGAAATTCCATGGATGATTTACCGACTGAAAACGAATCACTATGCTATACTGTGGCCCCGGACCAACAGTTGATTGGTGGTTTGGGTCGGTGCCTCGCAATACCTCAGGTCGCGATTGTTGCAATGTCATCGAACAAAAACGGGGTCTCAGGGTTCTGAAATCAAAATGGACTGAATCGCCAATGATTTTCATTTACATATGAATGGGATTGAATGGGGGCATGAATAACCACCAAAAGCATAGGATTTCCCCATGCGCAAAAGACATGGCTCTGTGGGCATCATCCTTCCGGTCGCGCAGGACGCGCATGGCCCCTACTGCAAAGAGCCATTAGAGGAGGAGAGCTGCTGAGATGAGCCAAGGAAGTGGAGTAGCCAAGTGGCCTTGGTAGTTGACAGTGTCTGTTTTTGAATCACCAAAGCTATGTTCATTTTTGACATAGATTGGATTTTGTTACTCAGTGCTGGTGAAGAGCTTTCATGTAGTTGAGTGTCATACGTAAGTCCGGTGAATGGCTTCGAACCCTCTGTAGTTTTCAAGATACCCTCTGATAATGTATCCTGGCAACTGAGCATTCCCTATTTACAGTACGGATGATTCCACATGAAGATGCGGATTTAAAATTGCCAGGTTTCTATGTAAGGCGGTAGGCTATGTCTAATGATCACAGGCCGGGCAAAATTTGTTGTGTCAAGAGTGGAGATTTTGAAGATTGGGCGCTGCGGGTTAGACCCACATGGGTTTGCAATGGCAAATTATACCCCCAAATCATCCCAAAATTAAGATGGCTAATCTTTGATGATCCAGAAGGGAATCTACATACCAAGCCATCGAACTCGGTTACCGATCTACATTTTTGTACAGTCACAGTTTCCCTGAGTTGGCTGGGGGGTAAGGGGGGTAAGTGGGGTAAAACCCACATGATTATATACATATACATATACACATACACACATACACACATACACACATACACACATACACACATACACACATACACACATACACACATACACACATACACACATCCACACATACACACATACACACATACACACATACACACATACACACATACACACATACACACATACACACATACACACATACACACATACACACATACATACATACATACATACATACATACATACATAGATACATAGATACATAGATACATAGTAGTTATAATATATATATATATACATATTTATATTAGAACTGGGTTGTATTATATTATGGTTCAATGGTTCCTAACCACTTACGATTCCTAGGATGCACAGCCGATGTTGCTGTGCAGCCAACGGCCAGGACCCCATGCCGCGGGACAGGTCTCATGATCCACCGGGTGACAGTCCAGAGGCGGGATATCCACTGTGGTAAACTGACATAGGTACAGTAGAGATGGCCATTTAGTTCGTTGATTTAACTACTCAACAGACTCAACATGGTGATTTTCCGCTGTGCAATAATTGTAATAGACTAAAAAAAGACTCGGGATCTTGAAAGGGTTCATGTTTCTGAAGGATGTAAAGTGGATGGGTCTCAAAGCTAAACACTCTGCATAAAAGCGGTAGGCCATTGAGATCAGAGATGGGGACGGCTGGTGATCGCGAGAAACCAGCTAGTCCATTGCCCGCCCTATTAGCAAGCGGTTGAGTTGGGTATTCCTATCCATTGTACTGTACCCACATTGTACCCGTGGTTCAACTCATTGCTTCTTTGTTGGTTGCGCTTCTACACCCATTGTAACCAGTTGAGCGTTGACCAAAATGTGTGCTATAAATTCATTGCTTAGTTAGTTATAACTGTTTTAAATGGGAGGGCCATTTATTTAGGTTTTTTTTTTTTGTTTAGGGATTTTTTTTTGGATTTCTTCCTGCTTACTCTATTGCCTCCTGCAGTGCTTCTCTGCTTCTTTGCTTCTATTCCTTTTTTTTGCTTTTCTTTGCTTTTTTGCTTTTTTGCTTCCCTTGCTTTTCTTTGCTTTTTTGCTTTTTTGCTTTTTTGCTTTTTTGCTTTTCTCGCTTTTCTGCTGTTCTTTGCTTTTTTGCTTTTCTTGCTTTTCTTTGCTTTTTTGCTTTTTTGCTTTCCTTGCTTTTCTTTGCTTTTTTGCTTTTTTGCTTTTCTCGCTTTTCTGCTTTTCTTTGCTTTTTTGCTTTTCTTGCTTTTCTTTGCTTTTTTGCTTTTCTGCTTTCCTTGCTTTTCTTTGCTTTTTTGCTTTTCTCGCTTTTCTGCTTTTCTTTGCTTTTTTGCTTTTCTTGCTTTTCTTTGTTTTTTTGCTTTTTTGCTTTTCTTTGCTTTTTTGCTTTTCCATGAGGTGTGGAGCAACATCTTCTATCCATCTATATCCATCTATATCTATCTATATCTATCTATATCTACGTATCTATATCTATCTATGTCTATCTATCTATCTATCTATATCTACATCTATGGCTGTATCTATATATCTATATATCTATATATATCATATATCTATATAATTATCTATATATCTATATCTCTATATATATATATATATCTATATATATATATCTATATATATATATCTATATATATATCTCTATATATCTCTATATATATCTATATATATATCTATATATTTCTATATATCTCTATATATATCTATATCTAGATATCTATATACATATATATCTATCTATCTATATATCTATCTACCTATCTATCTATCTATCTATCTAATTATCTATCTATCTATCTATCTATCTATATCTACATCTATGGCTGTATCTATATATCTATATATATCATATATCTATATAATTATCTATATATCTATATCTCTATATATATATATCTATATATATATATATCTATATATATATATCTATATATATATATATCTATATATATATATCTCTATATATCTCTATATATATCTATATATATATATATCTATATATTTCTATATATCTCTATATATATCTATATCTAGATATCTATATACATATATATCTATCTATCTATATATCTATCTACCTATCTATCTATCTATCTATCTAATTATCTATCTATCTATCTATCTATCTATATATCTATATCTCTCTATATATATATACTATATATCTATATATCTATATAAATATCTCTATATATCTATATATCTCTCTCTATATATATTTATACCACCATATATCTATATATCTGTATATATCTATATTTCTATATGTATATATACATATATCTTTATATCTATATATCTTTAAATCTATATATCTATTTATCTATATATCTATATATCTATATATATATATCTGTATATATATATATATCTACCTAAAAGGTTTGCATTATCATGCGGATGATATTCAAACCCCAAGCCAACCCTGAACCACACCTTATATAAATAGATCTTAAACCAACTCGATGATAACATCAAATGAAACTATTGTGCATCGTTGTGCCTTAACCTACATTCCACATGTTTCCAAGGTGCATGTCGTGTAGTATATACACCTTGAGTATCACATTCAACCTAGCACCTTGCATGTGAAAATAGGTGTTTCCAATCTGCTTTGGGGGGGAGGCGCTGCGCCCTCCCCCCAATCCCCCCCTCCCGTTTTTTTTAATTTAAATTCAAGCTTGCACACATTTCAATACACTACTTTGGTTAGAATATATATATATATACATTGTATATATATATATATTGTATATATATATATTGTATATATATATATATATTATATATTGTATATATATATATTGTATATATATATATATTGTATATATATATATATTGTATATATATATACAACACTAACAACACTAACAACACTAACACTAGCAACACTAACAACACTAACAACACTAACGGTAACAACAACAACAACACCAACAACAACACCACCAACACCAACACCAACAACAGTAACAGTAACAACAAACAACTGTTGGAATGTCAGCCTTCAGCTCCAAAATCCTGCAAGTACTGTGAGGAATGTAGCTGTAAAATGTTGCACATACGGTGGAAATGCAGATTCCAGCTCAAAAATGCTGCAAAGAGCATGGAAAATGGACAGAACATGCTGCAAACTGTTGCAAATACCGTGGAAAATACAATGGAAAATGAGAGGTTCGAACTCAAAACCGTTGCACATACCGTGGAAATGGCAGTTTCCAGCTCCAAAATGCTGCAAATAGCATGGAAAATGGTGAGAACCGGAAATCCAAAAAAAATTCCCCAAACTAAAAAAAAAAAAAAACCCAAACAATTTCCTACCCATTTTAAATGTCTCTAATTATAGAGATTCTACTACAGTTAGTTGGCTTATGGGGGATGATTCGACTCAGTTGCGACCCCACCTCCACGTCGTGAACGACCGTGAACCGAGGGACCTGCTGGAGAATGAGCTGGCTGCAGCAGCGGCTGCGCCGGCCGCGCCCCTTTTTTTAGACGAAATCTGCACGTTTCTTGCAGAATTCAGGCCGTTTCACGGGCACCGACTGGTGATTTTTTCAGATTGTCAGAATGACCAGTTGCTGGTTACCAGCTGAACCAGTTGAAGTCACGAAAGCTGGTCCACGTGCCATTGTCACCTGTGAGATGGAGCTTCCTAGATGAAAGCTAACCCGTCTCGTGTTTAACGTCCGGGGGCTGAGATTTGCTTAAAGCACTTGGCCCAACCTTTTTTTTGCCATCCAAAAAAATGTGGCTCATAGCCATGTCACATCGCAGCTTTGTGTTCTGCATGTTGAGCGTTTGAACCGAACAAGATAATTAGAGGACTTATCGAATGAAACAAAAAGATGGCAGATGCAACTCATAGAAAGAACCCAGCTTTGTCATTGGATCTTTATTTCAGATTTTTTGGTTGACCCCTCTCATTTTGCTGCGATAAGAAGGGATGGGCGGTCCGTGACAGCGGTCTGCGCTCTTTGCAAAAAAAGTGGTCTTTTTTTTTCGCGCTGGATCTGGGGGGTTGATACAACCAATAGCTACATTTGCCAACAGAAAATCAACTTCAAATCATCACCCAACAGTGGCTGGCTGGCTGGCTGGCTGCCTGGAAAAGGTGGCTGGCTGACTGCGCCATCACCGGTGATATCCAGTGAGTCGCCATTGAGTTGATGCGAACTTTTGTGCCAGAGCCATCAGAGCCATCAGACTTGATCGAAATTGTGTGTCCTTCTGACGTCATTTGCAGTCATGGTGTCTTGACCGAAGTTGGTGGGGGGAAACCACAACCACACTACAAGGTGAGCTTTAAAATGTGTCATCAAACATGGGAAATCCTCATGAAAACATTTTTTTTGTTGGTAAGATCATCTACAAACGTGTTTTTCTTTCTAGTGCCATATTTGATGACTGGGTCATTGAAATCGGAAAGGTGAGGAAGGACCCAGCAGATAGGTTCTCCTGCTCAAGTCGAGCTGGCGAGTCGAGGACATATCTGCAACGCCACCTCTTTAGTGCTTTCTTAAACGTTTTTTTTTTCCCCAGTGGTTTAGTTCTCCAATTTGGTGCTTCAATTTTAGCAGCCGCTGAGGCCACGAAGATTGGCATCAACGGATTCGGACGCATTGGTCGCATGGTCTTCCAGGTGACCAACCTGTTTTTTTTCCATGTGTTTTAAGGTAAAAACATGTTGACATATCTTGATCTGAACTCGGGTTTCTTCCCATTCGTGCTGGTGACATCTCATTTTGTGCTGATGACAGTTACGGAGAGGCATTTAGACTATTTTTATATCATTAAGACTTCTCGAATTGACGTATATGCAAAAAAAATAGATGTATTATATAGCTCGGAAACAACGTCAATTCGAATATAGAATATGACAATAAACAATTCTATGTGTAGTCCTCCGATTGCCATATTCCAAGTGCGTTCTGGGACGAATTGACACAAGTCCCTTTCATAGTCTAGAACACATCCATTCGTTTTTTATTCTAAGTGGTTGTCCAACACAGTATATCTCTTCTGGTCTTGGTCATATGCCGATATTGGGTTGGCAATCGTCGCATTTGGGATGTCGTTTTAACAAAACCGAGGTGGTTTGTTCAAAGCATCCAAGTTTGTGGGTTGACTTTAGATCCGTTCCCCCATTCCCCAGCTGATGGACCGTCTCCCGTATTTGAGATGTGAGAAATTCCGGATGTTTTGATGTAAGATCGCCTGTGGCAGGCCATTTGTGACCAGAATCTCTTGGGAAGCAAGCTGGATGTGGTGGGCGTGGTCGATATGTCCACGGATGCGGAGTACTTCGCGTACCAGATGAAGTTCCTTGGAATTTCCATTGGCTGAGGGGAGTTGCCAGCTGGGAAGAACTGTGGGTTGGGTGAGCATCTCCAGGGCCTCCGCAGTATTGAATTCTTGGGGGTTTGTGAGCAACAACCTTGGAACGTTGTTTGTGTAGAGAAAACTCCGAATCAGACTCCAATGGCCGAATCAGACAACACGAATCAGACACCACGGCTCAGCGACTAGATTTCCAGAATCAGCGACCACGTTTATGCTGAGGAACCGGAAATGGAACGTGTAGGTATACTTGTAGTGATTTTTCTACTTGCCTACATTGATGATCGTTTCCATGCTGAGGTGTTGGTGGGTGGGTGGGGGGTTTGTTAACGGTCCTTGGTCCTGCTTCCTTGGTTCTCGATTCAGTGTTCTTGGTTCCCGATTCCGGTTCCCGATTCGGCTGCCACCCTTGGGTGTTTGAATTGGAATTTTGAAACCAGCCGCAGGGTGGCCCTGGGACGACCACTCGCTTGTACACCCTAAATTTCACTCGCTTGTACACCCACTTTTTCCCTCGCTTGTACACCCATGTAAATCATGATCATGTTTATGACTGTTCGTCCTTTTCACCATCTTTCTCTTCATCACCATCAGCATTCTCATCATCATCGTCATCGTCATCGTCATCGTCATCATCATCATCATCATCATCATCATCACCATCATCATCATCATCATCATCCTCCTCCTCCTCCTCGTCGTCGTCGTCGTCGCCGTCGTCGTCGTCCTCGTCATCGTCATCGTCATCTTCATCGTCATCGTCATCGTCGTCGTCGTCGTCGTCGTCGTCGTCGTCGTCGTCATCGTCATCGTCATCGTCATCGTCATCCTCCTCCTCCTCCTCATCATCATCATCAATGTCTGCATCAGCATGATCTCATCCACACTATCACCATTAGCATCATCTTCAGCATCATCATCATCATCATCCAGATCTTTTCGACAGCACCATCATCACAATCAGCATCAGCATCATCATCTCGAGCATCATCATCGTCATCATAATCATCCCCTCGACCGGAACCCGCGCGTGGCGGCGTTGACATCTGTGAATCAGCTCTTTGATACAAAATGTTTCAAACGTGAGGTTTTGGCATACTTCAAATTGTTTTTTAAAGCTCTTTTTCGTGGCAATTCCATGGGGTAGTTTTCTTGGATCGTTTGTGCTGGTGAAATGCTGTTTTTTCTGTTTTGTAAGAAAAAAAATAGGGGCGGCAACGAGTGCCTGCGAGTCATTATCCCACGCCTGCCAGTCGAAATCGGGACGGCTTGCAATTTGAAGAAGAAGATAACAACGTAGCTCCAAGTGATGTTAGAAGAGGCAGCTACGTAGTTGCAAGTCATGTTAGAAGAGCCAACAACGTAGTTGCAATTTGAAGAAGAAGATGACAACGTAGCTCCAAGTGATGTTAGAAGAGGTTGCTGTGCATGTGTAGGCATAGGAACATGAACCTTATTAACTCACCCCACCCCACCGGTAACTGATCATGAAAGAGCTGTGCCTGTCTCTGCTCAACAGCAAGAAAGATGATGAGGTTGCTGTGCCTGTGTGTGCATAGGAACATGAACGTTATCATCCCACCCCACCCCACCCCACCCCACCCCCACCCCCCGCCCCACCCCACCCCACTGGAACATGAATGAGAGATGATGAGGGTGCGCAAGTGAGTGACATTTGGGGCGTGGGTGCGCAAGTGAGTGAAATTTCGGGTGCGCCTGGCAGCGCTATTTCGCTCTTCCTACTGCATTACCTTGGCTGGAATTTGGAGGGCCTTTTTTGTGTGATTCCATACTGGGTTTTGGAGCATTTATTGAGATTCGGGGCCGACTGGGATGGAATTGGGACAATTTCCTAAAGTTGTATACTTCAACCCGTCGCGAAATTCAAGATTGGACATGGCCAGTAGAGTGGCTGCACGAGGTTTGCACATCAGCAAAGTGCAAAAAGCCCCTTGCCATGTGGCAGCAGGATCCTGTTCCCCAGGCCGACCAAAGGAATGGCCAGAACAGAGCGCCAATCGGGCCCAGGCAAACAGACACGAAGAGGAAGATTTGCAAATGGATCAAAAATTGGTTGCCACTAGCACAAATGTTCCTTCTACTACCTTGCGCGGTGATCTATGCACCCCCAGGTAAAGACAGTACCTGGTACTGTCTGGCTGGTTTGCAGTGCCACCATGAGATTCAAAACCCGTTTGACACGAGCTGCCTCCCAGGCTTCCGATTAACTTTTTGCCAGTCAATCTTGACACAGGTTGCGGCAATTGAACTTGATCGCATGTGCGGCAATCTTGGGAACCGCGTGGCTGGATTTGTTTGGAATTCGTTTGGACCCCTTGGTCTGTTGTTGTGGCCCCCGGCTCTGAAATCTTGAAGCTTTGGGACCATGGAAACCTGCAACCTTAGAATCCTGCAGCCCTGGAGGCCCTGGAGCTCTAGAACACTGGAACTTTCGACTCTTTGCAAGTCTGGAACCTGCACTGAACCTCAAGCTTTACCTGAAACTTAAAAAAATTGGACTCTCACAATATGGATCCCTTGGTCCATGGAATCTTGGAACCAGGAAACTTGGAGTGTTGGATGTATGAGGCCCTAGAGTCATGGAACTGTGGAACCCCAAACTTGGCCTCTTGCAACCTTAGAGCCTGGCTACCTTGCCTGGAAACCAAGAGCCCTGTGAAAAAAATTGAACCTTTCACCTTGTGAAACTGTAGAGTTGACGCGTGGATCATAATACTGCTCACATTCTGTTCTTTAAATAAACTGAAGCAGCTCTATTGTGTTTTGCGTTTGCATTGCATTGCGCTGGTCATTTCCTCTTTGATGAATCAAACCAAGACCCTTACAAGTCTGGAACCTTGGAACTTTGAACCCTGGAAACTTGGAGCCCCAGAACCGTGGTAATTTAGAACTCTGGAACCTTGGAACTCTCGACATCTGCAACCTTGCAACCCTGGAAACCTGCAACTGTGGAATCTTGGAACCCTGCAAAACCTTGGAATCTTGCCTGATAACATTGTAACCTTGGAATCCTGGAACCTGCTGTTGGGTTGCAAAGCTGGGTTAATGTCTTTTTGGTTCGGATTTTGATGCCTCGACAGCTTCTTTGCTCTTCGTGGGTCGCTTCCAATTTTGGCGGCAATGAGGGCATTGTTGTGCAGTTCAACCCCGCACCTGGTTGCTGCAAAAAACTCTGTCTCTCTCTCTCTCTCTCTTGCCAGTTTTGCCTTTGTTCAAAGGTTTTGGATCATTCCATTGTGTCTGGTCCTTGTGCTTTTGCACGGTGAAACTTGGCCATTCCTGGGGTCTGGCCGCGTGGCAGTACTTCGTTCTCTGTCTTGCGGTGGCAGGCGCTGCTTTGTGCGTTTGCTGACCTTCTCTTGGTCTCAACACCTGCCATATTGCTTGGCTGCCCCGGTGTTTCGCGTCGCTCCTGCGGATGCCATGGCACCTCCTGATGGAGGGATCTGCTATGTAGCTTAACCCCGTGCCAGGTTGCTACAGAAACCTAACACGGCCAGGTACGACACTGTGCACGGCCGCTTCAAGCACGACGTGAAGATCGGTGAGAAGGACGAACTGATCGTGAACGGCCACAAGATCAAGTGCATCCAAGCCAGCCGTGAGGGACCCAAGGCCTTGCCTTGGAAGGACAGCTATTTCTTCATTTTTATTGCGTTTCGATTTTCATCTCCAAAGTTGGAGTGGCATGAACTTTGTTTTCTTTGTGTAGATCACCCATGCTGATGGCGAAGGACATGGGCGTGGAATATGTGATCGAATCCACGGGTCTCTTCGTCGAGGCTGAGAAGGTGCTTTTGTTCAAGAAATTCCTGCTTTTGATGGCGGTTGTTTTTGCAAAAAAAATGTGCACACATTGGTTCCCAAAACTTCAATTTTTTGAGGGGTTTGTGATTTTGGGTTAGTTCTAAAACTTGGGGTGCGTGAGAATTAGAGGTTGGGAGATGAAGATGGATGATCTTTGCTACTGGATTTTGGGATTGTCAGACAGGTTGGGGTCCCGATGTGACATCTCTGAGGCTGCTGGACACATCGAGGCTGGTGCCAAGAAGGTCATCATTTCTGCCCCTGGAAAGGGTGATTTGAAGACCTTGGTTTCTTTTCAGCACGGATATTTTTTCAGATTCTATGTGATTTCAAAACCTGGGTTTCTCAGCGACCCGGATGATCAGACATTCGTATTTTAAGTCAAGGAGTTATTGAAGGTCCATGTTTTGGCGTGGCCAGCGTTGATTGCTTTCCCAGACAGTCTGGTTCAGAAATCACTGGAGTCAGTAGTCGTTGATTCTGTGGTGAGGCGGAATATTGTCCAAGAGGTTTTGAACCTGCAGCTCTGATACTTAATGCCATTGACAGAGTGCGACCAACAAAAGTGGCCTTGGTTATTTCGGTGTGCAAAACCGACCCCAAATCCAGCATTTTATGGTAAGCCTTGGTGAATGTGCCAAAGTAGTGAGAAAAAAGTATAACCTTGCATGGTTGATAGAGAAGCATATTCCCCAGTGAAAAAATAGGACATGTCACTACCCCATCACTAACCGATCCCCCAAAAAAGATATGGTGCCCCCAGAGTCTTAATGATGAACAGATAGAGCGGATCTCCGTTAGTATCCCCTTGTTTAGTGGTACCCCCATGACTCAACCGGACCAAGGTTGTCGGGGTGAACCACTCGGAGTACGACAAGGCGAACCACAACGTGGTGTCCAACGCCTCCTGCACCACCAACTGCCTGGCGCCCGTCGTCCACGTGCTGCTGAAGGAGCGATGAACTGGACCACGGATTTTGGTATATTTTGGTCATTCTCTAGGAACTTTCGTATAAAGGATGCACTTGTGCCCCAATTTTGAGTATACACAGATCATGTGATCTGACCAACGAGAACAATGAGGCTTTTACCTGCCCAGCATTGTGTGTTGTATCAGACCGTGCAGCCAAAACCAAGGTAATATGATTAGATGAATCCATATTTTTGAGGAGGGAGTTTAGTGGGATGCCAGCCGTGTAGGTAAGTTGGTACATTTTTTCTTTTCTCCGTACCTGCTTAATTTGAGATGGGTATCAAAGTCAATGATGGAAACTGTAGGCACAGTAGAGCCTTTCAGGTTGTTGGTCTCATACATAAAGTAGCAATCACTACCTCCATGGTCAAGGATTTGTTTCCACCGACAAACAAGCAGAGGAATATATGTATGATCATATCAATGTATAAAATTGTAGGAATACATATATATTATGTATATATAATATCGTTTTGTTACACAGATGTTTGGACCATAGAATCATAGAAGATGTTCAGCTATGTCCTTGTAGCCGTGCCATGGAGAGCAGGCATGTGAGCGGTCAGGTGGCTGACAGTTCCATCAAACTCAACTTCTCCTTGCCAAGTGGACGCTGTGAAACAGTATCCGTCTTGCAGTCTTCCACCATCGCTGACTTGAAAACAGCTGCGCAACAGTCCTTCGGGCAACGATTCCTGAGGCTTGCCGCGCCTGATGGACGTATTTTCGATCCAAAAGACTCCCTTCGACTTTCTGGGTTTCAAGATGGAGACAGCCTTGCAGTCGTAGCCCAGCAGCCAAAGGTAGCTGCAACTGGGGGTGCGTTTGCTTTGTGGTGTGTTGGGGTTGACAGAATTGTCACATGGGGTTTTCCACACTTTGGCGGCGACAGTTCCCAAGTCCAAGAGCAGCTCAGCAATGTTCAGCAGATTTGTGGCACAACCTATGCTTTTGCAGCAATCTTGGCAAATGGAACTGTGGTGACCTGGGGTGATCGAGGGTATGGTGGTGACAGCTCCGAAGTCCAAGAGCAGCTTGGAAATGTTCAGCAGATCTGTGGCACAACTGGTGCTTTTGCTGCGATCTTGGCAGATGGAACTGTGGTGACCTGGGGCAATCCCGAACATGGTGGTGACAGCTCCGAAGTCCAAGAGCAACTCAGCAATGTTCAACAGATTTGTACCACGGAGTCTGCTTTTGCTGCGATCTTGGCAGATGGAACTGTGGTTACCTGGGGCAACCATGGTGGTGACAGCTCCGAAGTCCGAGAGCAGCTCAGGGATGTTCAACAGATTTGTGGCACAGAGTCTGCTTTTGCTGCAATCTTGGAAGATGGAACTGTGGTGACCTGGGGCAATCCCAGCCATGGTGGTGACAGCTCTGCAGTTCAAGAGCAGCTCAAGGATGTTCAACAGATCTGTGGCACTGGGTCTGCTTTTGCTGCGATCTTGGCAGATGGAACTGTGGTGGCCTGGGGCAATTCTGACAATGGTGGTGACAGCTCTGCAGTTCAAGAGCAGCTCAAGGATGTTCAGCAGATTTGTGGCACAACCTATGCTTTTGCTGCCATCTTGGCAGATGGAACTGTGGTTACCTGGGGCAATCCCAACCATGGTGCTGACAGCTCCGAAGTCCAAGAACAGCTCAGGAATGTTCAGAAGGTTTGTGACACAGCCCGTGCTTTTGCGGCAATTTTGGCAGATGGAAGTGTGGTGTCATGGGGTGCTCCCAACTTTGGCGGCGACAGCTCGGAAGTCCAAGAGCAGCTCAGGGATGTTCAGCAGGTTTGTAGCACACGATTTGCTTTTGCTGCGATCTTGTCAGATGGAACTGTGGTTACCTGGGGCGATGGACGCTTTGGCGGTAACAGTTCCAAGGTCCAAGATCAGCTCGGCTACATCTAGGCACGCGTCAGGCAAAAGGGACCATCCAGCTGTCTTGCAGGGGGAAACCACCTGGCGGTCCCCAAGTTCATTGCTGTCTCAGTGTTGGTTATCGAACTTGGAGCCCATGTCTGGAGCTACAGATCAAAACAGTGGATGTAGGGACACCCCGAAAAAATACGGTTTATGACCAGCATGACCAACATATGGGTCTTGAATTTTGAAACCCTGCCAATGTGCTTCATTGTGTGCCCCAAACCTCGTCCCCACTTTCCCCAGACCATCCATGTGGATTGATATCAGTTCAACACCTCGATATATGATATATATATATATCATATATGTATGCATACATATTTATAATATATAGAGCCACATATTTTGAAGTTACTTGGGCTCTGTCGAGCTTATTTGAAAATTACTTCTTATCTCACGTATATAGATCATTGGTTCTCATGCATCTCAGCAGCATGTTAGCAATCGAACGCATTTGAGCACATATCATATAGGGTTGGTCAAAAAAATGCCACAAATCCACTGGTCAATCATCATTGTTTCTCTTTGCTGTAAATGGCCACATATATAACCCATTTCCAGCCTAATATCTAATATATATATATAATATCAATTTTTGAACACTTAAGCTAAATGAAATACTCGATATATGATGTAATATTCCTAATAATATATTTATATCTGCGCATGTAATGTATGTGTATAATATATATATATACATATCTACATATATGCATGAGTACATATGATGTGGTCCTTGGCCCTCCTACTCCAATTGTATCCACAACTCCTTCAGCCACAGCAAAGTTTGTGGATATGTTTAACACTGGGCCAATATATATATATTCTCTCTCTCTCTCTCTGTGCAAATTTGTTTTATGCATATAAGTCGTAGCGAACATGACCTTTCAAAATGTGTGGTGATCATGTTTTATTTCTTGGCCCATACCCATGCCAATTTGGACTCCGAGACATCTCCAACCTCCAACCAAGATTTTTTATCAGGAGGGCATTGGAATCGAGAAGGGTCTGATGACCACCATCCACTCCTACACTGCCACTCAGAAGACCGTGGATGGTGTCTCTGCCAAGGACATCGGGCGTGCCAGTGTATCCGGCTCCCCCAAAGCACCAAATGAATCAGGTGGTGCAGGGATGCCGGGGTACCTCAAGCCTTTCTGTGCTGAGCCAGGAACTCGTATTTCTACTAAGTGGGGACCTGTGGCTTGTGGTGACTTTATGAAGCCAGCACATTCGACTATATGAACTGCATAAATTGAAACATACTTGGAGTATATATATATATATATTCCCCTAATATAAATTCCACATAATTGGAGTTCTTTCAGTAATGTGCAATTCTTGTGCACCGTACAATGCTCCGGTTTCTTTGTTTTCTAAATCATTCGCACCAACGCAGGACTGGCGTGGAGGACGTGCGGCGTCTTGCAACATTATCCCCAGCGCGACCGGAGCCGCCAAGGCGGTTGGCGAGGTCTTGCCCACCACCAAGGGCAAGTTGACCGGTATGGCCTTCCGTATCCTGGCGGTCCCTGGAGGTAGATAATTTGATGGGTTGGTTTGTATAGGCACATTAGTAATAGTAGAGGAATATACACCATCCAGATCCAGATCTATCCAGATCTGCAGGTAATAACCAACTTCATCATGGGGTGATTCGACCAAAGTGGGGCTTCTGGAAGCAAACCAAACCGCAGATCTACCACTTTTGTTTCGGATTCTCGATGCCCTTCGCGGCTTACATCTTCCAAGTTTGCTGGAATCACAGATATCCGAAGTTTCTGATAAACTGCCAATTTGGCAACGTTATAATATCTTACTGCAGTAGCGGGAAACACACGCACACACACACACATATATATATACATACATAGAAAGAGAGAGAGAGAGAGATAATCAAATTTCCCAGGTGTGCCAACCCCAGACGTCTCCGTCGTGGACCTGACCTTCACGGCTGAGAAGGACACCTCCATTGAGGAGATCGATAGCCTGATGAAGAAGGCATGCCATGGTTAGTTTGATTTATGGGGATATAATGGTGATATGGTGATTTATAGGGATTTATGGTGATCTATGGATTGAAGATGATTTTTAAAATTTCCCAATGGGAAATTCACCAGAACTGGGGAATCCATTAATGGAATGTGCGTTTTTTTTGGATAAATTCATGAAGAAAGAGATGTTTGCGATTTCCAACATGTTTTGTACGACAGGTTTTTCGGGAGAGGATGCCCAAACCAGCTGTGGTGTCCTGGGTCAATCAGCCCAGATAGGCCTCGGAGACCTACATGAAGGGCGTTCTCTCCTTCACCGATGAGGAGTTGGTGTCCAGCGACTTCATTCACAACGTGCAACTTGGCCCAAGGATTGGACGAATGACTTATAGCAACGCCCCAGGTGGGAATGCCGTTTATCACTATTTTAGTAGGATTTTTACTTTTGTATCTTTTTGGGCATCGCTACAATGTGAACCATCGCATAGCTTGTCCACCAGAGATTGCCTGCTGAAGCTGAGTCACTAAGGAACTCCTCCATCTACGACTCCAAGGCTACCCTGCAGAACAACTTGAAGGGCGAGAAGCGCTTCTTCAAGATCGTGTCCTCTGGAGAAATCTGTGGTGCGGATTTCTTGCAGAAGTGATAAGGGTTTGCTTGATTTGTTTACGGGAAACCCCCAAACTTGAGGGTGAATCGTAATCTTCCCTATTAAAGTGGCAATTCATGGGTATACCGTATACCAGTATACTCAGTATACCACATTTTTGCACAAACCCATATGGTTCATATTGATTCATTCATTTTCATTCCATGAAAAACAGGTGTTTTGTTGACTGGCGACAGCTGGTTTTTCTGCGAAGATCGACCTTTAAAGACTAGATCATTGTTCAGACAGAACATGACAGAACTATATAGAAACAACTAGTCTACAAACGATGCAATATATATATATATAGTATACACATTCGAAACGTCCTCAGGTCTTGGTACGACAACGAATGGGGCTACTCCAACCGCATCTTGCCATCGAAAAGTGTGGTCACCGACCATGGATTGATGGGGGATTTTCAGGCACCAGCCATGCAATGTTGAGGGATCCATGAAAGAATATGAAAACATATGAAAACCATATATCATATAAATGGGCTAACACCCTGGTGCCGCCGACCCCTTTTCAAGAGTGGAGGAAGGACGGCGCGCATCGCGACATCTTGAGCCGTTTGGGCTCAGCGCAGGGCCATGGAGGGCCATGGAGGGCCATGGAGGGCCATGGAGGGCTATGGAGGCAAACGGCAGGCTTCAAGGCTCTAACAAGAAATGCTTGTGGCCAGAGTGCCTGGTCGAAGCTGCCGCGGGGCATTTTAGGCATTTGACGGCTGGCAAACGGCAGGCTTGAACGCCGTAACAACAGAGGGCCATGGAGGCAAACGGCAGGCTTCAGGGCTCTAACAATAAATGCTTGTGGCCAGAGTGCCTGGTCGAAGCTCCCGCAGGGCATTTTAGGCATTTGAGGGCTGGCAAACGGCAGGCTTGAACGCCCTAACAACAGGCAAACGGCAGGCTTCAAGGCTCTAACAAGCTGCCACGGGGCATTTTAGGCATTTGACGGCTGGCAAACGGCAGGCTTGAACGCCCTAACAACAGAGGGCCATGGAGGCAAACGGCAGGCTTCAAGGCTCTAACAACAAACGCTTGTGGCCAGAGTGCCTGGTCGAAGCTGCCGCGGGCCATTTTAGGCATTTGAGGGCTGGCAAACGGCAGGCTTGAACGCCCTAACAACAGAGGGCCATGGAGGCAAACGGCAGGCTTCAAGGTCGAACAACAAATGCTTGTGGCCAGAGTCCCTGGTCGAAGCTGCTGCGGGGCATTTTAGGCATTTGACGGCTGGCAAACGGCAGGCTTGAACGCCCTAACAACAGAGGGCTATGGAGGCAAACGGCAGGCTTCAAGGCTCTAACAAAAAATGCTTGTGGCCATAGTGCCTGGTCGAAGCTGCCGCAGGGCATTTTAGGCATTTGACGGCTGGCAAACGGCAAGCTTGAACGCCCTAACAACAGAGGGCCATGGAGGCAAACGGCAGGCTTCAAGGCTCTAACAACAAATGCTTGTGGCCAGAGCGCCTGGTCGAAGCTGCCGCGGTGGATTTTAGGCATTTGCAAACGGCAGGCTTGAACGCCCTAACAACAGAGGGCCATGGAGGCAAACGGCGGGCTTCAAGGCTCTAACAACAAATGCTTGTGGCCAGAGCGCCTGGTCGAAGCTGCCGGGGGCATTTTGGGCATTTGACGGCTGGCACACGGCAGGCTTGAACGCCCTAACAATGGAGTGCATGGAGGCAAACGGCAGGCTTCAAGGCTCTAACAACAAATGCTTGTGGCCAGAGTGCCTGGTCGAAGCTGCCGCGGGGCATTTTAGGCATTTGACGGCTGGCAAACGGACATAGCTTGAACGCCCTAACAACAGAGGGCCATGGAGGCAAACGGCAGGCTTCAAGGCTCTAACAACAAATGCTTGTGGCCAGAGCGCCTGGTCGAAGCTGCCGCGGTGGATTTTAGGCATTTGACGGCTGGCAAACGGCAGGCTTGAACGCCCTAACAACAGAGGGCCATGGAGGCAAACGGCAGGCTTCAAGGCTCTAACAACAAATGCTTGTGGCCAGAGCGCCTGGTCGAAGCTGCCGGGGGCATTTTGGGCATTTGACGGCTGGCACACGGCAGGCTTGAACGCCCTAACAATAGAGTGCATGGAGGCAAACGGCAGGCTTCAAGGCTCTAACAACAAATGCTTGTGGCCAGAGTGCCTGGTCGAAGCTGCCGCAGGGCATTTTAGGCATTTGACGGCTGGCAAACGGCAGGCTTGAACGCCGTAACAACAGAGGACCATGGAGGCAAACGGCAGCCTGCAAGGCTCTAACAAGAAATGCTTGTGGCCAGAGTGCCTGGTCGAAGCTGCCGCGGGACATTTTAGGCATTTGAGGGCTGGCAAAGGGCAGGCTTGAACGCCCTAACAACAGAGCGCCATGGAGGCAAACGGCAGGCTTCAAGGTGCCTGGTCGGAGCTGCCGCAGGGGATTTTAGGCATTTGAGGGCTGGCAAACGGCAGGCTTGAACGCCCCAACAACAGAGGGCCATGGAGGCAAACGGCAGGCTTCAAGGCTCTAACAACAAATTCTTGTGGCCAGAGCAGCCTTCCAGGCTCTAACAACAAATGCTTGTGGCCAGAGTGCCTGGTCGAAGCTGCCGCGGGGCATTTTAGGCATTTGACGGCTGGCAAACGGCAGGCTTGAACGCCCTAACAACAGAGGGCCATGGAGGCAAACGACAAGCTTCAAGGCTCCAACAACAAATGCTTGTGGCCAGATTGCCTGGTCGAAGCTGCCGCAGGCATTTTAGGCATTTGACGGCTGGCAAACGGCAGGCTTGAACGCCGTAACAACACAGGACCATGGAGGCACACGGCAGCCTGCAAGGCTCTAACAAGAAATGCGTGTGGCCAGAGTGCCTGGTCGAAGCTGCCGCGGGGCATTTTAGGCATTTGACGGCTGGCAAACGGCAGGCTTGAACACTGTAACAACAGAGGGCCATGCAGGCAAACGGCAGGCTTCAAGGTCGAACAAGAAATGCTTGTGGCCAGAGTGCCTGGTCGAAGCTGCCGCAGGGGATTTTAGGCATTTGAGGGCTGGCAAACGGCAGGCTTGAACGCCCTAACAACAGAGGGCCATGGAGGCAAACGGCAGGCTTCAAGGCTCTAACAAGAAATTCTTGTGGCCAGAGTGCCTGGTCGAAGCCCGCAGGGGATTTTAGGCATTTGAAGGCTGGCAACGGCAGGCTTGAACGCTGTAACAACAGAGGGCCATGGAGGCAAACGGCAGGCTTCAAGGCTCTAACAAGAAATGCTTGTGGCCAGAGTGCCTGGTCGAAGCTGGGAATGAATGAAAGGAATGAATGAAAGGAATGAATGAAAGGAATGAATGAAAGGAATGAATGAAAGGAATGAATGAAAGGAATGAATGAAAGGAATGAATGAAATGAATGAATGGAATGAATGAATGAAATCAATGAATGAAATCAATGAATGAAATGAATGAATGAAAGGAATGAATGAAATGAATGAAATGAATGAATGAAATGAATGAAATGAATGAATGAAATGAATGAAATGAATGACATGGTTGAAATGGTTGAAATGAATGAAATGAATGAAATGAATGAAGTGAATGAAATGAATGAAATGCTGTTAGGGCGTTCAAGCCTGCCGTTTGCCAGCCGTCAAATGCCTAAAATGCCACGCGGCAGCTTAGCATTTGTTGTTAGAGCCTTGAAGCCTGCTGTTTGCCTCCATGGCCCTCTGTTGTTAGGGCATTGAAGCCTGCCGTTTGGCAGCCGTCAAATGCCCCTAAAATGTCCCGCAAACGGCAGGCTTCAGGGCTCTAACAACAAATGCTTGTGTCCAGAGCGCCTGGTCGAAGCTGCCGCGGGGCATTTTAGGCATTTGAGGGCTGGCAAACGGCAGGCTTGAACGCCCTAACAACAGAGGACCATGCTAACAACAAATTTGTGGCGATAGCTGCCATAGCGCTTGGTCGAAGCTGCCGCGGGACATTTTAGGCATTTGAGGGCTGGCAAACGGCAGGCTTGAACGCCCTAACAACAGAGCGCCATGGAGGCAAACGGCAGGCTTCAAGGCTCTAACAAGAAATGCTTGTGGCCAGAGTGCCTGGTCGGAGCTGCCGCGGGACATTTTAGGCGCATTTGACGGCTGGCAAACGGCAGGCTTGAACGCCCTAACAACAGAGGGCAGTGGCCTGACGGCTGGCAAACAGCAGGCTTGAAGCCCTTAACAACAGAGGGCAGTGGCCTGAGTGCCTGGTTGAAGCTGCCGCGGAGGGTTTTAGGCATTGTCGGAGCTGGCGAACGGCAAGGTAGTGGCAAGCCAGCAAAAACAGGCTCCACACCTGCGGTGGTCCCAGGCGCCGCCCCTGCCTTGGTGAAGGCCGGGGTCGGCGGATTTGTGTTGCATTAACGTGGGTCTTCACATGCAACCCAGGAGAGAAGGAACCGGATTGCAAAAGAACTGGATCGACTCGCGGCAGGTAGCACCAGACCAAACATTCGAGAAACTCGCCCTGTTTGATCGAATTCGACCAAAGATGTAGAGAGATGTAAAGAGTAAGTGAGTCATATGAGAGTATGTGTAACAGTTATGTTGTCTCCTGCGAAGGCTGAAATTTGCACGGCTGTGACGATATTGATTTATGCTGTATTCATCGGCTGTGAGCTGGAGATGCTTGGCTCCTGCGAAAGCTCATGTGAAGTCAAGATTTGTCGCCAAAACAGCTTGGGAAGCTTCAGAAACCTTGTATGTCAAGAAAGCTAGCGGTAGCACGCAATAGCTAGCTGATGTTTTTTCTTGATCTTCTTGCTTTAGTAAGGGATGTGCGGGGAAGCAACTGCCAAAAGCACATTTTTGCGCGCAACTCCTGTGTCGCAACCCCTGCGCCCCTCCCTATGGCAAGTCCTGGGCTCCATTCCACCTGGATTAAAACCTACGGGCCCAACAATATTTGGGAAGGTTCCAGCTTTTCTTATTTTTCTTTAAGATCTTTAAGATTTTGTTTCTCCTTTCTTATCCTTGGGTTCACCAGGGTACCAGGGTTTTGACCCATAGCCCATAGCCATATCATGCGGCTTTCCATGTTTTGCCACTTTCCAACTGCTTAGCTTTCGTTCCTTGGGACGCAGCTGTTGAATGCAATGCGCTCAATGTTCGGACAATTGGAACACACGCAACATTTGAAACAGTAATGAGGATTGAGACCAATCATCCGAATGCAGCCCCTGAGCTTTCAGTGGACCCTTGTCACAAAAGCAGCAGTGCTTGACTTTTTTCAGTTGTGGAAGCTCAAACTATAGCTGGATCACGGAAGACGTGAAACATCATGGAGCAGTAGCGATTAGTGCTGGTCCAGTCTTTGTTTGAAACTTGTTTGTCGCACTGAGCCAGTGCGAGACCAGGTCTTTCTCATCTGCCACGCGTGGAACTTAAATGCATAGCTTGGGTTCTAGCTCATGTCCAAGTAGAAAGTAGTACCC